GGCTTTCTTACCATAATATACCATTATTAATTAAATTTGATTTGTTTTAGTTGTCTAGATTGATTTTGCATTTGATTAGTATCTTGTTTTTCTTTTAGACTGTTTGAATGCATGCTTCATTTACTGTATTTGTCTGTTGCTTTCATGTGTTCGTGCACATCTCTTTAGATTCAATATTGTGCTCAATACTTCTGTACAACCTATACATGGAGTCATGGACGTTGCTGAAGTTTGATACCCTCCCCAGCCCATCAAATGAAATATTTGTAGGAGAAAGGACACTTTAGTGACTTAGAAAAGTCAGATCAATTATTTTTGTTGCAATGTATTAACAACAGATCGTCTGAAACTGAATATTTGTTTTCTTCACGGTGCCATGCCAAGTCTTTATTTAGTTTTTCTTTGTTCCTCATTATCCCTCATTCATTCTGAAGTCATGGTAGAATGCCCTGTAAATAAATGCTTAGACATATTTGAGGTCTTTGTAATCAGCTTGTAATTCACTAACAATTATTCCCAGCCTTGAGGATACAATGATGCAAATACCTAAATAATGTACATGTACAATGGACAAATGCATGTTGGCCTTTAATATGCAATGAATTATGGAATGATTCATTTCTCGGTATGTTGTGTATTTCATATAGACTTATAAATATTAAAATGATGTCATTGACATAATTAAATGATGGTACAAAAAACTATACATGTACATGTACATCATACATTTAATAATGTACATGTACTACTTACTAGCTGTTACCCTTAAATTTGCAAGGTACATGTACATGTAATTTTGTTTTGTTATCAGTGTGGTATATTAGATTTAAATCTGTGTGTAGTCCCACGTGGTGAGCATACTGTACTCACCATATCATGGCCGGCCGAGGTAGCCATCACAGACAGTATCAGGATGAGACAAGACAGCCGTTTGGCATGCCAGCTATGTGACTCCCTATTGGAGGCCCTCTTGTTGGTCTCTCTCTCTCTCTCTCTCTCTCTCTCTCTCTCTCTCTCGCTATCCTATGTTTTTCTCTCTTTTCCCCCTGCCCATTTTGTTCATCATTAATCTGTATCAGCCCCTTGTTTGTTTTATTATGTATTAAATCTTTTGAATCCTTTTCCCATCTAGTTCTCGAGATCTCACTTTTTTTGTTCATCTCATCATTGGAAATTCTGTTCATACATGTATGACATAGCAGTAAGAGATCAATTTAGATTGATATAGAATCAACCATATTAACTGTTTTGCAATTTATATTTCAAGTGATCTCCTTACATATGTAGGAGTTATCATTTGAATGCTTTATGTCAACTCTTATTTAGTCTTGCCATGGTAATGCTTGATAGGCCTACACTGATGCTTATTAACCTATTTGATTAGCCAATGCTTGATGAGCTAATGTTCCAGTAACATAAAATACTGGTAAATGTAAGTACACTGTAAATGTACCAAGCTGCTTCTCTGTATATTCCAGTACTGATATTCTAGGAAAGTTGACTACATGTACATCATTCATGAACCAAGAATGTAGTTTTTTGTAAAATGCTATTTTAAAAAAATAATCTGGAATACATACATGTACACAAACATGTTCGAACATAATTTATTGCTAAACCATCACATACTTCTGAATCCAAAATTGAACTCCAAATTGACCTTGAAAATTCATGGCCATCCTATAACCTTTGCAAGCTAGTGAATGCTGATGCCTTTAAGTGTAGGCCTGCATCATAACCCTTTCCCCAGCTCTTAAATTACACATACTGATACATCCAGACTACAAGTTTATCAGTGGGTATACAGTTTGTAGGTATATTGTCTGTTCGTTAGTCAAATGAACACGAAAACTACTGTAGGAGCTGACAGATGAGTGCAAGAGATAGCAATAAAATAATGATGAAGGAATACGGTAGAGAGAATGGGAAGGTAGATGGTGATGTATCTGGGTGATACTGATTGATGTCGACATGTGTGCTAGACAACCCACTGATAATGATGTGATACTAAGGGCGTGTTCATGCTTGATTTTGAAGGCAGAATGGGCGATTTGTAACGCTCATCGTAATCGCAGTTCCACGGATGCACTGTTCATGCTCACTTCTCCAGGCAATTCTCCTTGGGTGGCCTTCAGCTGGATTCGCAAACCTGTGTGCGCATGGTACGTAGACCCACTAGAGGTCAGTGCGTTGACCCCATTTAAACGCGTTACAAATTGTAAACGCATCTTTTTGTGAGTTTACGATCGGCGATTGCCGTTTTTCGGTGATTCTACAAAAGTGAGCATGAACGCAATCGTGTTTTAAACTAAACGCGTAACAGATGCCTGATTCTGGCCGTCAAAATCAAGCATGAACGCGCCCTAAGCTTTTAAAGATACAAGGAATTGAAGGAAGGCAGGATAACATTACCTACAGTATATCATCTTGATTGGTTCTCCCTGAGACTGAGTGATTATCTTACAGATGTATTCGGTGAAGAGACCCCCCCCCCCCCCTCCCACAAAAAGGTCTCATACATGTATCCAGTGACTCAACCAACCATGCAATTCAATTCAATAAAATTCAAATTTTGACATTTGTACGAAATGTATGTTAAAAACCATGGTTTCTGAAGGGGGTGTGTGTGTGTGGGGGGGGGGGTCCAATCTAAATGTATCTAGGAACAGGTGCATATTTTAAAAAAATACAAACCATATACATGTACCCATGTGTCCTACATTTACAGTTGTAGTCTTGAAATGAAATCCTCAATCACAGCTATACATAGAGATTCCTTCAAGGCTTCTACATATTTACAGGTACCGGTAAACACATGTACATGTGCATGTCTTCATGTACAAACTGCTGGGGCCTACATCAGTGTTTACATTTTTTTTACAGGAATATTAGGGGATTCAGTGTAGTAATTTAGATATTTTGAACAACAATTTTTCTTTATCTATTTGCTTTTGTGATTGTACCAGAGCTCTTTTAGAGCTTTCCAGAGCTAAATTGCTCTCTGAACATTCCTGTGTAATTTTGTCCACACTGGCCTACAGTGCAGTACCTGATATACACCCATGCATTACATGTATACCAGATTTTTTTTGGTAATGATTGGTTTTAAACCTTTGAGTCATCAGACTCTTTGAATCATTTGACTCGCCTTACTAAACTCTGCCTGAAATCATACATGCAATCATATTAAATGGAATTGAAATGCATGAAGCTATAGAAGTAGAGGCTCCATATTGCTTACCGAATACCGATACCCATATAAAATTGGTACAAATTGCCAACATATACACGCATAATTCAAACTCTCTACGTTGTACTTCACAAATAAGTAATAGCAAACCCATGATGAGCTAGCTATCATACATATGTTTTTGCAATCTTTTTGACAGGCTATCAATCTGTGCAGACTGGTCTGAGTTGTGACACAAATGTTGCCCCCCCCCCTTTCCATCTTGTTTACATGTCTGCCATTTCCACAGCCCGATGGAAGACATATGGCCCAAAATTCTATGCATGCCTTTAGCAAAGAGCCGTGAAAACAATGTACGTGTATGGATGCCCTGGGTGACTTCACACAAACGTCTATTTCAGTTGTTCAAAGAAAAGAAAAAAAGAAGTTTGTGATTACAAAATATACATTCATTAATGATGAGCACTATTGGATTAAGACATTAAGTGTTTATGATGCAGAGAGTGATATCATTGTGCTCCATTGTTACATTTCATCCAATTACGAGTCCAGTAAATCATCCGATTGAGCAAGGCTCTGAAAGATGATTAAATTTGTGGCAAGTGAGGGTCAGAGCTGGTACTCAATTGTCACCTTAGGGATATTAAGTAGGTATGCTTGGAACCTGGGATCCAATCTGGTCCTGAACATTCTGAGGTCAGGTTAGGCATAAAATAAAAGCATGAAGAGGATCATTTAAAACTGTCCACTTTATCAACTTTTTCCCCTTTTGAATAACCAAATATTGTAGTGTCTGCATTGAAGTGTCTGCAGTTGGAGTTCACATCTTCTAAAATTATTCAAGATTTACACAGTGTACATGAGAGGTCATGTCAAGCAGCAAGGTTCATTGGCCAGTGAGGTCGCTTGATGGCTGCATCCTCTTTACTTCAAGGCTCAAATCAAAGATGAGCATGTGTTGTCTCTTTGGATTAGTTGACGTCATAACTGATAAACGACACCTCACCTACAAGTACAACCTTAGCCATTAAGCACCCTTATTTCTTCTCAGACAAGATGATGGGTAATTAGCCAATTGTTTACCCGATAGATTTTTAAATTTATGTCAGGTAGGGAATTAGGAAAAATCAGTCTACATACTCGATGGATTTGATTCGTTGGTGTTGCAGCATTATCTGAAACTGCAGTTTGTAAAGTTATTTACATTAATGCACTTATTGATTTGTCCGGTATGGGAAAATATGCTTTCAGTTTTTTATGTTTTCAAATCTTTAAAAGGTAAGATTTTCTGTTTTACTTTTGAAATGTAGTACTTGCACACTTTGAAGGGTGTATGGCATATATGTTTGTCTGTTTTTTTGTAGTAAATGTAGTTATTTATCTTAAAAGAAATTGTTGGCTTCATATGTAATAAGATTATTTTCATTGTTGTATTCTACTGTGCTGCCTGCCTGTTATTTTCTTTAGTTATTTCTCTTTCAGCACCAGGTTTGTACACCATTTTCACAGAGGGTCCAGATTAAAATTTGAAAATCGGAAGGGGGTGGGGGTCTAGAGTTAAACTGGACCCCTGTTTATAGTGCCAAGCCTTGCTTCACTTATCATTTAAATGTACTTTCCTCAGTCCATTCTTATCCTTTGTTTATCTTTTCTTTCCAAGTCCCATCTATATACATGTTTATACTTTGTAAATTCATATTTGTAGCGTCTGTCTCTTTCTCTGTTGTCTAGGATGCTGAGAGAGCAGTGGGCTGAAGACCATACGTAGCAGTAACTCCCACCATCACCTGGATACCAGGCAGCGGTCACCATGGCGGAAGACCTGCTGCATCCAGGCGCCATCGTCAAAGATCGATGGAAAGTTGTAAGTATCAAAACAAGATCATCTGTTGAGAGCCAGAAGGGCATTAACTTATATATACACATGAACACAAACTTCAAGATAGTGTTATAACCTTCTAGATCTCCAAGAGATGAGCCATAACATGGGTCCTGTAGAAATTCTGAAGACCCCATGCTTTTTTGCCATGTACTTTAGAAGTAGACCCACTGTCAAACTCAAGTGTAAAACCATTGCATTTGCTCAGTAGAGCCTGTTGACTGTAACCATGACTTTCCATTGGTACTGTAGCATGGCCCCCTGTTCTGGACACAATCCCTAAAATTACCCTTTAATACAGAAAGGGCTAGTGTGGGGCTATGATTAATGGAGTGTTGACCATATACCAATACATGAAATGAATGAGTGGATTTCTAAGCACGTGCATGAATATTGACTATCTTTATGATAATGATATTTGATCTATTTTCCTTTTTAGCTCTGAAAAGAATGAATAGATCTCTCATTAAGAATTTGAAGATACCGTATTTGCCAGCGTAAGGGCCGCCTTTACGACGAAAGAGTAAAAAAAAAAAAAAAACGAAAGTCAAAACCAACACGAATTTGCACGTATGGGCCTAGAAACGGTAAAATAACAATACCACTATGGTACAGGACATTTCCAAACATCTTACCGACAATTTTATCTTGCATAGTTGACATGAAGACGAAAATAAACGTCCTAACACAGCATTTGCCGATAGATCTTGATCTACGTTCGTGCCAATGCATTGCAAAGGTAAAGGAAGGGACAGTCTAACGGAGCTGCCGCGAACATCCATCCGAAGTCGCCATTTTGTTTTTCCATTTCATGCAGTTTCGCATTACACCGTACATTGTGGTAGGGGTATATCGGACACCAAATCTGCCTGCGATTACTTTTTTAGCTAAACTTCCGGTAAATTATAAGAATATGGATGAATTTGGTAACAGTTTGTAAAAAAAAAAATAGTGTTTTCGAGAAAATTATGATTATTTTGTTTTGTCCGTTTTTTTTCTTTTTTCTCCCCTCTTTGAAATGTCAAAGTTGGGGGTGCAGCCTATGCGGTGGTGCGGCCTTATCACCGGCAAATGCGGTACATTCACTTCAAGGATTTCATGTTCTACACATCCATGAAAATCCCTTGAAATTGAAGACCCAGCCCTCCCAGTAATTATGTTTATTGGCTACCCTTGAGACTGATTACACGTTGCTGGGCTGGTCTTTGGCATGATGACATGCTTCATACTCTGCCAACATGGAAAAAGTCTAAATCCAGGATCAAACCTGAAGAAGAGATCAAGTCCGTTTCCTTTCCATGCTTAAAAGGCTTAACAGATTAATGTGAGGGATGGAATGATTTTGGTTGAAGGTAACTGGGAGTCCTGGTTATGATTGGAAATGAAAGCTCAGAGATTCCTACCAAGCTTAAACTGAATATTCATTACATCAAATAAATCATGTCTTCTACGTGTTAATTATTTGGTTAAAATTGTAAAACAGTAATGAGGAAAGAAAGATTTCTATAAAATCACGCTAGACATTCCAGCTAAATGTCATTTGCAGATTTTGGCAAATGTGATTTTCCAGCTAGTATTTGTCAGTTACGTACTTGGAAGTTTACATTTTGCTGATACAAATCACTAATCTACTTTTCAGATTTACTCAAAAAGCCAGTATCTGTTGAAAATTTTCCACCTCCAGAACTTAAAAAAAATTGTTTTCAAAGTTTGAAAGTTAAAAAATAAACTGGACTTTTTTTAAGGTACTGTAGGTACATGTTTGTAGGCTTTTATTACCTCACTCGGACAATGCAAATGTTTGTTCAGTTTACTGTTCAAATGGCTACAGTAATGATGGGGAGGGTAATGAGGCAGAGATGCTAATGGCTCGTAATGGTTTTATTTGAATAGAAGGTGAACAATATCACTGGATACGCATGAGCAACGATACATTAAAGTCACTCATTATGCTTAGCATACCTACATGTACATGTACAGTACCTTCAGTTGAAAAGTTCAGTTTATTTTTGAACTTTCAACTTTTAATGCTACTACATTGCCTTTAATACTCAAAATAGAAGAGAATGCATTGTACAATACAACTACGGTAACAAATATGTTTGGTAATATATTTTATATCAAATTTTGCTACCTGTGTTTCATATTTTATTGTATTACTCTCCTCTGACCCAGGTACAATCACTGTATGCCTACAAAAGAAAGCTCTTTCAGTTATCCAAAGTAGAATTCATTCATTCATGCAAGTAGAGTACTTTTCTGACAAGGTTTCTGATTTATTATGTCGTTAATATGAATGGACATTTCTAAACTAGCCAAAGTACTGAGTCAGACTTCTCTTCCTCGAAACCTATATTAAGTACACATACATGATAGAAGCCCCTTCAATGTTCACCATGTGTAAAGATAAGTGTGTACTTCTCCATCTGCACCAGCAGCGGTGTATTTTTTAAAGGTTAAGTGGTCGTGTGAAGAGGGTACTAGCTGTGAAAGTTGAATAATAAGGTGTCCTTTTAGACATGTCCTTACTTCTGTGCATTTTTAGCAACAGGAAAATCAAAGTTAGGTGCAAGGGGCCCAAAGTGGTGTTTATACATGGAAGAAAATGTATGAAGGCTGATGGGATATTTTGAATTACATGTCATTTCTGAATTCGGAATGCAATACCTTTATCAATAGGTAACTTTAATGTCTTATTAATTTCTGATGTGAATTACTTGACTACCCTGTTTGCAAAGAAGCTTTTGTCCACACCTGCTTTAGGAATGAGCCTTCGATCTAGTCAAATTTGAAATATAATAGCATTTATCATTTAAAATCCTTTCAATGTTTCATTTGATCTGTGACGTTCTGTCACTGGGTAATGAATACAAGCAATTATGGTGTTATTTTCACGGTGCACTGAACACCCTTTAAAATTCTTGTCAGACATATCTGCAAAGGATCAACAAATGTCACTCATTATCGACACAGCAGCAGTGCATGTCTGGCTCATAATAATACACTTGCATTCCTGTAAGCAGAAATAGCATGTACCTACACCTCGAGAAATGTTGCAAGTCCTATGGACGGTCATGTATATGTTGAATGTACATGTAGATACATGTGTATCCTCATTTGATCTTTTTTTAAAGTCAATTTGATTTTCAGAAATTGTTTCACATTGAGGAGAAAAAAAAACCCAACAGAATCTAATAGAATCTTTAAAAGGAGTAAAGATGTATGATTGATTAGTATGGTAATATTTGTGGTTAGGATATGAATGAACTCAAAAATTAAAAAAAATGAAGTTACATGTACATGTACTGTGTATGTAAATGTGCCAAATACACTGTAGGTCATTTGGAAATTTAATAGGTACAATGTAGTTGGATGTAGGAATTTGTGGCTGCACAATAAATATGTCATACTGTACCTTTGATTGTTGAGATGATAGGCAATAAACCTCTGGATAGTCCATGGGATATTATTTTCAATCTGAGTTTGACTCTCTTTACCCAGGTTTTGTAAATTTATTGGTATCTTGAAAGATGTAGGCTTAGTAATGCATCATGTCACCAATTCAAGGTAATTATTTAATACAGGTATATACAAATATGTGTGTCTGTGCTTAATCTATTATTGATATCATTGCTCATACTGTACATGTAGGAGATTGCTTGTTGTGCACGGTATGGGTCAGGATTTTGTTATTTTTCTTTCCCCATTTCTCGGCTACCATACAATTTCTACAAAATTCATGTTGTGAGTGATTTTATTAATTTGAACTGTTATAAATTTCTTTTGACACTGTATGGTCTCAAAATGAGATGAATGGTATCAAAGCTCAGAATCAAAGACTGAGTGATGTGAAGGAAATGTTCTACATGTACATGTACATTAGGTTTAACCCATTGAGTCAACATACATGGAGTTATCCTTTCCATTAATTTTCACTTTGAAATGAATTTGTACTTTGTCCTTGTGAATCTGCATTTTGCTTTATGTATTTAGCTATCTGAAGTTGAAATTGTACATACATCTATGCTTAAGAACAATATACAAATGTTTTGAACATGTACAGTCCCCACGTACATCCCCTGTAGCAGGCGCCCAAACATATGGCTTACACTAATGGAATGACTCATTAGAATATAATATGAGCTATGTTGAGAGTGAGAGACGTGACCAGCTTGTTTAGCGATCAGTTCAGGATCGGTCTTGGATTTCAATTGAACCGTCCTACGCACTCTACCCTTCTCCTGCAAGGTTCCTATGTCACCTTAGACCTTTACCAATGACCAGTCTGACTGTTGGCTTTCTCTCAACACAGATTCATATTGTGTACATGTACATGTGTGAGAGTTATGGCCGTGAGATATTATAAATAAACAAAATTAGGGGGACATGGCTTTTCCACCCGAGGACCAGAGTTACAATGTCCATACATGTATGAAGAGTTGCTGAATCGATCGCAACTCAACTTGAGTTCGATAGCAATTTCAACTCTTTACATGTTAGATAAGAGGTTGTAAACTTGCTTGAAGGACTTGTGATCGATTTGTAAAAGACAGGGTCCAGAAGGGGAGGACGTATTCTGGGCATTCATATTCAAAAATACAAAGAGAACTAGGAGGGTTGAAATAATCATTGTTTATGAAACAATGTAGTCATCCGATTATAAAGAATTAAACACCTTTCTTGATGAAATTAGTGGAAGACCAAATAATCATAGCCCTATGTGTTACATGTATTATTACTAGTAAAAATTTTGAATCATGAGTCACAAAATCACCATACCCACACGCAGAGTTACATGTGACAGCCTTCTGGCTCTCTGCAGATAGCACATAAACAACATCTGTGCATGTGTTCATGACATGTATATTGTAATCAGTTACTAGATGGATATAGGGCAATTATATCTGTCATGGATGAGGCAAGCATTTATCAGTAGTACATGTACATGTACTTCAAGGTGCTTATACGCAAGTTATATGTACTTGTCCGAGCTGAGATAGTAGGATAATGATTCTTAAAAATAGTGGGAAAATCAAAAGATTTCTTGCCAAAGATATAACATCTTCATGTAAATGTATATGGAAATGGAAATGTACAGTATGTGTATACAGTACCGGTACATATACATGTAGATGTCACTTTCAGATTCATCCATGACATCATCGTTGTTGATTTCCAAAAAAATCTGGCTAGTGCGTGTTTAAAACTTGCGTACAATATAGGGCACTTGATGGCAAACAATCCCACAGTCTATCTCTATGGACCAATTAGCCCTATCAGTGTGTGCCAACTTCTAACCACTTCTGTCAGTAATGAGCATTCAAATTAATCCCTTGTGTGTGTCACAATGAAATGGAATGAATTGAGAACGTGATTTTCTCTATTCATGTAGGCATCCCAGTGATGTAGGTCGGTCAGAAATATAGTTTGTCTCTTTTGCTTTTGACCCCCTTTGATTGATCGACCTACTTCTAATAATTTCCATAAAAATTCTATTGTAAAGTATGAATAATTCATATATTTCATCTCCTTTCTATGTGAATCTTGACCATTTCTGTGTTTTTGTTTACCCAACAGACCAAGAAAATTGGTGGTGGAGGCTTCGGTAAGATATCTCATTTTAAAATTCAGAGCTATAAATTTAACAAATTTGTAATAAGTTTCATAGAATACCATCATTAGACATAATTTCATGCAATAAAAAGTTCTTTTTGTTGTTTGAGAGTTGACCCATTTGCTTTGGAACTGGTTATAAAAACTTTCAACGCCAGGATTAAAGCATTTGTTATTTCTACATATGAATGCACACATGTTTTCTTCATTAAGTGCATTCTAATAAGTAAAACAAAAACATTCTAATCAATATCACAGGATGAAATTTTGTTTTTACATGTACCAGTATGTTGAAATCGATGTTATACATTTCTGTACAAGATATTTTTCCATGATGGATAATTTGTTTTTAAAGATGATTTAAATTCAGCTTTTTAATTAAGGAAACATGAAAGCTGTTCCACAAACTTTCTTGTTTGCCCTATGACTCCTTTGTATCTAGGTGAGATCTACGAAGCCCTTGACCAAGTCATTGATGAGTGCGTAGCCATCAAGCTAGAATCTGCTCTCCAACCTAAGCAGGTGCTCAAGATGGAAGTTGCCGTCCTCAAGAAACTTCAGGGTTAGTGAGATTCAAATACTTTCTTGGAATGTAGACATTATTATGGATTGTGTTTGTTAATCATGCCTTTTTTTTAAGCAAACTGGAATTATAACCAAAACTTAAAATCAAAAGCAACTACATGAAAATGTACATGTACTCATGTATACAGGTCTCAGACAGCCTTTTCAATAGACAACAATTATGACAAGTCCAAGGTATTTTGTAATTTTGTGTCCCATATTTTGCCAAGTGTTTTGTGGAGTTTTGAATATTAATTGTTATTACCGGTAATTGGTGTTATCCAATTAGCTATTAAATCATCATGTAGTATGTTAAACACATGAGACGAAATGGCTTTGACATGTACACTTACAAAAGACATTATGGCATATTGGCATATATGTGTAATACAGTGGCTAAAGGCAATGAAGGTTCTTAAATCAGTGATTTTAACACTGATTTAAGAACCTTCAGCCACTCTATTACACATATATGCCAATATGCCATAATGTCTGGAATTTTTTTTCCAAAACTTATCATAATGGCATTTTCTGTTTGTCGGTAGTGACCAGATCCAGACCCTAATGACCCATGAAGATCATTAAAAGTCCCAAATTGCATCATTTGTCTTAATGAGGTTTAGGACTAACTAATCAAAATTGAGATGCAAAATTGAAATTTGGGCCAATGAATATATCTCAGTAAATTTGCAACAATAGTTTAGAAATGTTATACATTTGTATAAATTTGAATAATATACCAAGATTACCTCTTTTCAGCAACCTCACAGTTTTCATGCATAGTTTATAAGCTATCCCTTTAAACAAGATAGCTTTGGTTCGGCAGGGACAAAATGTCACATTTATTTACATGTACAAACTGGCAGATACATTCCAAGTATTTATGTAAATAAGACCAACAAATAGTTGTATCACCATGCATACATATGTAATATGACCAGGAGTCTACGCCAGAGTTATTTACGTGCCTAACACCTCTGCCAAGTTTCAGAATACCTGTCAGGTCGTTACTCTTGTTTTCTTGTTGCACTGTACCTCACATATTTACAATGTAGTTTCTGTGAACAAACTTTTACATCTATTGTCTTTTTAATCCCCTTCTGTCTTCACGTACATGTACCGGTATTATAAGTCTGCCTACAGACCATAGGCCTATTTATACAATAGCACTTTACTCTTTAGTTGAAAATCATGTAATGTAGGCCCATACACAACATGTATGGTATATAGGCATACTGAATTAATGATATTCCGAATGATATATTGAGGATATGATATCATACACCCAGCTCTGTAATGGTAAAGGGATACCCTAATCCTGTACTGGCCTTCTGCATGGAGATTAGATTTGATTAAGCTAGGATTAATGCATCTGGGTAACAGCAGTTCCCTGAATGAAACGTGTAGTTCCATGCCTTGTATGATGTGAATTGGTCTGTAATACAGCTCCAAATGTGATTAAGTCCCATACCTATCATGGCATGACGTCAATCAACCCTGCTCTTAGGGCCCTTAGGCAATGCATTTTAGAGAGGACTTCAAATGCCTGTTAAAAAGTCGAGGAGCATTTTGTTTCTACATTGCCAAGTCCATACATTACATGCGAAGTACATGTGCTTTTGCTAGCTCTTTACAGACAGATCTTTGTTAGTATTTGGCAAAGGAAAAGCTAGAAAGAGAATTCTAACTATTATAGAGATAAAGAAACTAGAGTTCAAGAGTTGAAAATATAGTCCAAGACTTTTAGATATGTATAATGACAAAGGTATTGTTCGTTTGTTTTAGATTTTTGTTTAGAAAAACAAAGCTTAATTAAGGATAATGAATACGGTAGATGAGGACCCAAATGAAAACAATAAGTCAATCAGGTTCTCAAAATAACTCCCTTTGGAATTCACTTTCACTTGTTTGTGATGGACATTGGATATGCATCTTCCTGTTGACAGTCATCCCATCATTTCATCACCTAGCTAGGCTGTAGGCTTAACATATCTTGATATATCAATGTCATGACTAACATTGGAGTCCAGATAGATTAAACATCAAACTGTGTGAAACAGGATGCTCTAACTGTGCATTTGCAGCTAGCATTGAACGTCCTGTGGTTTAACAGCTGAAATGAAGGAATTCCTGGAATCTGCAGAGCATTTTGATGTAGGATACATAGCTTGCCATCATCAATGTTGTAGGGTATCGTGTGTATTGCTCAGACTAGCTTTGAGCAGTCGTACAGAGAAGGGTATGCAGACTAGATCATGTAACATAAATGCTTTCAATGATACTGAACAGTTACGCTTACATTTATGATTCACTTCTGCGGTATGTTAAAAAGGCTAAATGTATGTCTACTTATTGCCCATGAGAACTGGATAGTTTGTGTGCTAAACCAATTAGAATGAGATAGTTTAGAAGTGAACGGGTTGACAATATACCTTTGAATGTAGTGCATCGTTAAATTTACTAGATGCTGATTAAAAATAAATATAGTAAATAAACAGTAAAGACCAGTGATTATGGTACAACTGTATACAAAATATATATCTGCATGTACACTGTATTGCCACCCATCTTTAAAGATGGTATTTGTAATGTACAGTATGTAACATTTTGAAGTGATTTTATATACACCTATATTGTCATGTTGGGGTTGCGCTTTTTTGTGGGACTTTCAAAGTGTCAATGGCATACCGGTACTTGTCATTTTGTTTATTTTAAAAAGTGACTAAGCTAATACATTTGTGCCTTGTAAATTGTTTTCATAGTAGTCATCAAATGCTTTACTACAGAACCCTCTGAAATCATAGTGACAAACAATGTTTCATCAGATATTAATAAACTCTTGCCTGAAATTGATATATTTCTCGATGAGCAATATATGTTGGAAAACACATGAGCTAACATGATATTATGCACTACATGCCAGTGCACAGACACTAGACCTTGCTATCTGGAGCTGCCAGGCCTTTAATTGAGCATAGACCACATCCAGATTCCAAACAGATGATTTCTCAGAAAAGAAGATGGATGAGGCCAGGATTGCCCTTCACACTGTGCCGATGATGGCTTTGTGTGTGATTCTGCTTGTTATCTTCCGCTGATGTTGACTCATTTCCCTGAAGATCTTGAACCTAAAGACTTCAGAGAAAGCTTGTGTCTTAGCCCTGCTTGTTGTTTACCATTGCTAATGTGTGCGTCAGGGTCGCCCTGCTAGTCTCTTCAAGATGACTTTAACAGTCTTGAGCATATACAATGTCCATCTCACGAGTCAAGAGACTGTATATACATTTAATGTTCTCCCAATAATTGAAAAAATGTCTTCACATATTGAAATTTTTACATTTTATCATTATGAATCATTGTTTTAAGGAAGTGCAATGAGCTTTTACAGGTGAAGGTCACTTATTGTTTTCCCTGGTGACACTGACAGTACTGTTTCCTTTTTGACAAATAAGTTAGAGCAAAAAACAATGTACAGCAGTATACATGTACATATATATACATATGTATAATGGTACATGTAAATATATGTATGTACATGTACATCACTTATTTATCATTGTGTGCTGTACAATCAGTTCCATGTAACTTAAACGTTGAGGAGGAAGCTGAACAAACATCATACAGAAGCATGGATGCTAAGTTGTAGAATGATTCACCTACATGTACATGTACAATGTAGCTGTAATGGAAATGCATGTAAACATGCCATAAGCTACATGCTGCGACGTTACAAATTATTGTAGAATTTGTCATACACAATGAATGTAGCATTATCCTAACCTTGGTTATCCATTGAATAAGATAACAATGTACCTCCATCAGTCAATCAATCATCTTGTGGCTATCAATACATTGACCAATGTACTACATGTAATAGCAGCTCTATTTTATATTTGTCTGGTTACACCCATTTTGAGTCTATAGTTTTGATTAAACTTTTGTTTGTTTGGTTAAGTTATCAAGAAACTACAAAGATTTTGCAACAGGATCCAAATTCAGATATTTAAAAAGTAAGCTTTACAGAAACATAGCTGTTATGTAGTATAGTGAACAAATTTATACATGGGTAACCTCTGTCTCAAAATACGGTAACATCCATGAATTATCTCTCAGAATTAATTTATATCATTTCTTTATTTTGAATTCATTACAGGGCGGGATCATATCTGCAAGTTCATAGGCTGCGGTCGCAACGATCAGTTTAACTACGTTGTGATGACCGTCCAGGGCCAGAACCTTGCAGAGCTCCGCCGTGCACAGCCCCGTGGCACGTTCTCCGTCAGCACCATGCTCAGGCTTGGAGTACAGATTCTTGAATCGATAGAAAGCATCCACGAAGTGGGCTTTCTACACAGAGACATCAAACCTGTAAGTGTGACTAAACACACAATTATCACATGTATGTTGGTTTATAACCTCCAAATGTGCATGCTATTCTTGAGAAAAACATACCAAATAGATTTGAAGAGAGTGAGAATATCTATTTATGACCTCCAGATTGACAAGTTCTTTTAAAGATAGATATTAGATTCTCAGCACCTAAGTATTGTTACATGTGACTGCTGCATTAGATTAGATTATATGATATGTTTAATTCAGTTTAACTTGACACTAGTCCTTAGTTAAGTTTAGTGAGGGAAAACTAAGACCAAGCTAACATGTAAACTTGGCATCAGGTTTAAATTTGGGTAAAAATACAGGATGTAGTGAGTAGCCATTTCCTGGATGATTCTCAAGATGAGATAGGCTTTCTTTTTGTCATGTAACGTAAATGGTTGAATCAAAGCAACTAAGCATTATAAGTGAAACTGCAATAAAAACTTGTTAAATTACAAGTGTACTTGCGGTAATAGTCAGTTTAGAGTTGGCATGAGGACAATTGAAAAAACAAGCATATTGTTGGTTATGTGAAATATTACAGATATTGGTGACACATGCACCAACATATAGATAAACAAAGATAAAGATAGATAAAGAGAATAGTAATATAAAATAAAAAAGTTTGATATTGTTTTGAGAAATATTAAAATGTTATTGGATTGATGAGAAAGGATTTAGTAACTTATGTTCAAGTTAAAAATTATTTGTTTGTTTCTCCTTACAGAGCAACTTTGCCATTGGGAAAGCTGCTGCTAACACAAGAAAGGTGTACATGTTAGACTTTGGTCTGGCAAGGCAGTATACCAATTCTCAGGGTCAAGTTAGAACGGTAAGTACACTGTCTAGCAACTGAAAATTGAAGCCAAAAGAAAAACGTCTGTGTAAGAGAGCGATAGGGAGTGAACCAGTCAATTCTATCCCATTTAACGGGATGAACTAGAATTTCCAATACAGAAATCAAGAATATCAAAGACTAGTTCTAGAATCCATTTACATATTTTATTGTATGATATGAAATCACTACAATAATTTACCTACTTTAAACTTGAAGGACATGAGGACCCTCTATAAAATGCCATGGGTTTTTCCCTTTTGACACACATCTGACAAATTACAGCATGCTCCTTATATGTGATATACTTTTAATGTATCTTACACTGTACTACTTTTAGTTTCATTTGTTTTAACTCACCTTTTTTAATGAAATATTTTAGCTAGAAAATGTATGTAATTTAGAAAACATACATATGTTACCATGTGTAATATTTATCAGTGTGATTTTGTAGTCATCACTTTTGCCTTTTTCTTTACTTACATATATGTCCTACCAGCCAAGGCCAGTTGCTGGGTTTCGTGGAACTGTTCGCTATGCTTCTGTCAATGCTCATAGAAATAGAGTAAGTCACCTCATTCTGCAGTAGTTATAGTTGTGGTATTACTGAGGCAAATCATTTGTAAATACGGCAGGAGTTATCCCTACTTGTAAACCGGGACCACTGATGTAACTTTTGGTAATTGCCAATCGTTATAATTTGGATTATCAGATTGTTTATTGTTGTCAGTTATTCCCTCTTATTGAACTTAGTGTGATAGCCTGTAAAGAAAAGAAAAAGAAAAGAAAGACAAGATGTGAATGAGTACAGAAAGTATATTGTATTATACAATGATATGTTTAGTGTGATGAGACATTTCTCTCCTTTATATTCTGTGTGGAATCTACAGATTTTTGTTTTTAATTATTTGAGTTTGGAAATATACAGAAATAATAACGCTTCATGTAATCTAAATATCAGTTGAAATCTTTCATCTTGTAATGCAATGTTTAAATTATTTAACAAAAAATGTTTAATGGTGCAAAATGGAAAGGATGCTATACATTCACTTGTGACTCGTTCTTCAAACATGTTTTTAAATAAAGAATTATAAGATCATTTTAATGATCTCTCTATTGTAATTGTACCTTCATTTAACATGCGCTTCCATAAATTTTAAGGCAAAGCCATTGTTATAGACGTTTGAAATTTACTCTCTCTTCTCCCTATTTTACTCTTCCTTTATCGCAGGAGATGGGTCGTCATGATGATTTGTGGTCATTGTTCTACATGTTAGTAGAGTTTGTCATTGGTCAACTTCCATGGAGAAAAATCAAAGACAAGGTAAATTATCCTCAGCTGAGCTAGATTTAACGTAGTTGCCTAAAATAAAGCAACATTTAAGTTAAGTTATAACATCATCAGTGACTTTTATCTTAAGTCAAGTAATAATCAGTATTTAATTACTGTCAATGTTTTAAATGTTTCATTAGCAACCTATCAGCTAGTAGCATGAGATTGCCATGGCATCCATGATATTATACTGACATTTGAATTCAAAGTTTGTTATGAAGCATATTATATGTCCTCTGAAGAGCTTGTTTTAAAACCGTAAAACAAATTGTTTTTCCATTGTCTCATAGCATACTAGCCCCTTTACTATTCCATTATTTGTAATTTCGTTCCAGATGACACATCACACTTCGTTTATCAACAGAAATTTAGCTTGTGAAATGATATTTATCTTTGCGTTAAACATGATATCCTTTTTGTGCTTTTTTTTCTTCTTCATCAGGAACAAGTAGGTTTGTTGAAGGAAAAGTACGATCATCGTTTACTACTGAAACACATGCCCATGGAGTTCAAGCAGATATTAGAACAATTCCAGTCCTTAGAATATGCAGACAAACCAGATTACAAGGTAAATTATATTGTCATGCTGTCAATGGACTTATACTCGATGAAACCACTTGCATATTGCCTTTAATTTCTATCTGTACATCTGATTTAATTGCTTTATTAAAACTCAATTTTGACTGAAGTGATATTGATCATTAAATGTTATGAGTATTTGTGTTTTTTTAATACAATATGTCAAATGTAATATTGTGGTAAAATAGACATATGTATGCAATTTTACCACAACATTCAAGTTGTGGTAAATTTCATGTTGTCGTTTTTTTTAGACATATTCAATTTTACAACAAATTGAATATTGTGATAAAATTTCATTTGTTTATGATCGATATATATCAAAAATGAACTTCTGTTTTATTTAAAAGTATATAAGGTTCATCTTTGTATTATTAATAATAACATAATCATACAATTTTGTCTGAAATTTGATCGTAGTAATTTGAATAATTCAAAATTTGTAAAAAAAAAAAAAACATTTTGTATCCTTTGCTGCTTTTCATGCATTATATTGTATGCTGTAGAGAAATTAAGAAAGTCTTTTGTAATAAACTGCCTAAAGAGGATTAGCTTAGATGAACATAAGAAATTTCATATTTGATAATTTGTATTTAGGGAAACACTATATTTCTTTCTTATCTTCTGTAGCCATGTCAGTGTAAATAGGATTCATGTTAATGCCTCTACTTCTGTTTATTCCTACAGTGCATCCATTCTTTATTAGAGCGATGTATGAACAGGAAGAATATCAAGGAGAATGATGCCTATGATTGGGAAAGACCACCAGTAGATGGAACTCATAACTTACTCCTTCTTCAACTAGTCCTGCTCGTAAGAAAGGGTATGTCTCTAATACAATCCTGGTTATTTTATAGGAAGGAAGATTATTTTTCTCCTAAACATCTCTTTTGGACGATTTGTAGGATTTAAAACTTTGCATTGTGTGTATGTTAAGATACTCTTTAACTTTTCCTTGTTGCAATTGAAATGGTTGAATTATGTTGAATTCTTTCTTATCCACTTCATATATCTGAATATTTTTTGATTTGATTTGAGATCAATCTCATAAGTTTTATCACTTATACTGTAATATAACATTTGTTTCTTCAGGAGATATATTTTTAACATCTGACAAGTAGATTAATTGAATAATTATTGATTTTTGCTGATGCCATATCAACATGAGTGATGTTTGTTATAATATCTGTATTTTTTCCTCTCTCTGTTTGCAGCTTTGAAGTGCCATCAAGTCCAGATAAACAAGAGAAGAAAATCAGCTACCCAGAGCCAAACATCCACAAAGCCAACGTTGAGATCAGACTGGTTGAGAGTACACATACACAGCCAGAGAAAGTGGATGAGAGTCATGAGAAACAAGATGAAGAGAAGGAAGTCCAGGAGGAGGAGGACGAGGAGGAAGAGGAAGAAGAGGAGGATCAAAATGATGAAGAGGAGGAGATCAATATGTCAGGGGTTACGCAAGAGAAAGAATTGCAAGGAAAAGTAACTACTGATGTCAAAGGAAGCGACAAGATGTTCGCTATAAGGAAGAGCAAACGATCACAAGACAGAAAGCGAAGGTTACTCCACAAGCGACATAAACCAAAGATCCGAACCATGGACAGCCATGCCATCATGGAGGGTGATATTAGTACTTACCGCGGTGGAATGGAATTTGGTGTAAGTGAGAGGGAGCCCTCAATAGAGGAGAATTTGCCAACCATGCAGAAAAGTGTTACTGTTCCAGCAGAAACAATGAAGAAGGAAGAAAAAGAGGAGAAAGGAAGGCCAAGGCCAGAGCCAATTGGATCATCAACGAAAGTGGAAACAAAAAAAGTAGATCAGTTGGTTCCAGGGAAAGGGAATGGTTTACCTCCATCAGGACGACTTGGCAAAGATATCATGCCTGTAATTCAGGTTGTGAAAAAGCCAGACTTGAAAGCAGCTGTTGATATTCCAACCGGAAAAGAATCACCTAAAAAGGATATGGGAAGCGGTGTCACAAGTAGAACTGAAAGTACATTGAAAGGTGATGTGTTGCAGTCGAAACAACCGAAATCTGCCTTTGCAAAGGCATTCAAATCAATAGAACCTCTTCAGGAAGCAGAACCTGTTGTCGTAGACCAGAAAGTGCCCCCAAAACAAGAGACTCTGTCTGCCCAAAAGCAACATGCAACAAACTTAGCCAAGAGTGAATTGAAAGTAGTTAGTTCGAAGGCAAGTGCAGATGCACCAACAAGAAATGCAACACCAAGTACTGAACCTTCGAAACCTGTAGTCACTGATGCACCTCCTCATAAACCTGTTCCTTCCACTGTCAATCAGACTGACACTCAGCCAGTAGTGAAAACTAGTGGTGAAGCTAAACCTTTAAGTGCAATTAAACAAATAGATGGTGTAACAGTATTGTCAAATGAACAAACAAATGAAAAACTCAAAACACCATTTGAGGTGAAGAAAAATGAAATCCAGCAAGTCCATCAAAAAGTGAAACCTGAGCTGCAGGTACCAGACTGCAAGCAGCAAACCAAGGACAAAGATAAATCTGTATCACCTATCTTACAAAAGCTATCTCCAGGCAAGAAGGAAGAAACACCGTCTCCACAGCGAAGCGTTTCTTCTAAGCCAGCTGAACCTTCTGCAAGCAAACAGCAGAAAGTGAACCTGCAAGATACCAAGCAGCAACCAACATCGAAACCAGAGGAGAAGCTTTCTATCAAACCAAATACACGAGCTTTGTCACCTGTGCAGCAGGCTGGATCTGATGCTAAACAGGAAAAACCTGCTTCCAAAATCGCTTTTCGTTTGTCTCCTGTGAAGAAAGGCCTTAAACTGGAAGAGGAGAGTCAGAGACCCGTCTCACCCAAGCCAACAAATTTGACTGTAAAGCAACAAGAAGTGCCTCAAGAACGGTCCACCTCTCCAAAGCCATTTGGCAGTCCTGCTGTCAAGCAAAAACAGATTTCTCCTCAGCAGCTACAAGGCAATACATCAAAAGAACCAAAGGTGCAATCAAAAGTTGAACTCAAAACAAATCAGCCTTTGAAGGATAAATCTCAACCAACCCCTGATAAAATTTCACCTGGTGCCGGACAAAAGACTCCTGTGGTAGCATCTGTGCAGCTATTTTCTAAGCAGTTAGAGCAGAAACCAGGTGTGCAGAAAAAATCACCGGAACCAGTAGACACTGGAAATAAAAAGCAAGGTCAAGCAGCAGTGGTTGAAAAGAAACCATTTACAATCAAGCCACAAAAGTTAGAAGAGAAAGCTAGTAAGCCTCCTGAACAACGCTATGTTAACCAGAAACCTCCTGCACAAGATATTCCCAAAGTGTCTTCAACAGAACCTGTCATCAAAAGGATAGTAGCACCTCAGCCGAATCACAAGGCACCACAAAAATCTGTTCTGCAGGAAACGGTTGTACCTTCAAAAGTGCAAGAAAAGGTGGAGAAACCAGTTGTAATTGAATTGAAAAAGTTAAAACCATTATCTCCCACAAAGGATGTAACTGATAGTGGAAAGAAAGTGAATGCCCCTTCATCAAACAGAACTCCAGAGGCTGTGGTGGCTGTTCCACAGCGGACTGAGGCAAAACAATGTTTGCAGAAAGAACCTAGTGATGTTCCTATTAAGAAAGACAATGATATAAAACTAGAAATGAAAAATGAGATCATTGTTAAAACCCCTGCTGAATCATTGAAAAAACCTCAACTAGACATGGTACGCAATGCCTCCGAAGAACGACATTTGATGGAAGAGCTTCTAATGGGCACTATCACAGAAAAAGACTTTGAGCAGAAAGTGGAACTGGTTCAAAATCCCCCTACAAGTGATGACAGTGATTCTAAGAAGAAGAAACCATGGAATGACAGACCAGATTATAAGAAGAAGAATAAGACATCCGAGAGCTCAGTATCACAAACAAGCAGTAAAGACATTAACACAGATAAAAAACAAGATGTTATGCAGCTCTTGATGATGGGTTGTGAATGGGATATGGCTGAAGAGATACCAGATAATTCAAAGAAATCACAGGAGAATGAACAGAATGAAACAACAGATACTACTCTTAAAGGTAGTGTGTCTCGATTAGGTAAATCAGGAAATGATTCGACTGCAGTACAAGGGCTGGAGATAAAGAAGAAAGAACAGGCTGTCAAGGTTATGCCTAACAAGGGGACTATTGGAAGGGCAATGATGAAGTCTCCATCATTTTCAACAACGATTGTCCAGGAGGATGATGATGATGATGTTTTCTTGCCAAAGGAAGCTGTATCCAACAGTGATGGAAGGAATATTCAGCATAGACCAGAACCTATTGGGGATGAATCAAAGCCTTCATTACCTGTTGACCTTCAACCTAAGGTGTCTCAGAAGGAAGATGCAACCAGAAGCAGACCAGCATCAAAAGACTTGAAGAAGATAGAAAAAGAAATGATCAGACAGTCTTCAAAGGACAGGGAGGAAATGGAAAACATTTTTTCAGATATGACAAGTAGCATTCATGATGATGTCATGAGTCCTGAACTCAGCAAAAAGAGCAAAAGTGATGACAAGCAGGGAAGCAAGACAACATCTAGCGCTCCAAAGCAGGCAAAAGACATACAGGTCAAGGGAACCACTGTTGAAAAGAAGCAAAAGGAGAAAAAGCCAGTTCAAAGGCAAAATAGTGGTGAAAAGAGCAAAAGTTCTAGTGAAACAAAGTCTGCTGGATCAAGCAAAGGTCGCAAGAGAATGAGTCCAGTACGTGCTCGACAACTACCTGAAACTCCCAAGAAAGATCCAAATAGAGAGACTGTCCCTGGAAGTCCGAGAAAAGATGGACTAACTTCAGTTTCCCCTGATCTTGCAAGTCCTCAAAGTAGAAGAGCTGTCAAACAGCCAAGGAAATTGCCCGAGGTACCTAAAATTCTCCTTGAAAGTAAACTGGGGCAGTTGAAACAGGATCGCTCAGCAGCAAGACCATCCAGTGGAAAGTCTCAGAATGACTCTCCAAAGACTCCACGCAGGCACAGGTCTTCCAGGACTGATACACTAGAAGAGACTAGTTGTCAGTCAGAGAGCAGTCACTCAGTACCTGTCAGGAGAGACCAAATTAGTGACAGAGGAGTTGATAAGTCACCCCGTCAATCTCCAGCCACACCGAGGAGACGTATCTATGATCCATCCACATATGCAGTTATGCAGAGCGTATCACATGATGAAGGAGGTAACCCTGAAGTGTCTGAATGTGCAACTCGGTGGCAGGAACCTAGCATGTATATGGAGTCTTCTTCCCGTGCCCCATTGGTTCGTGAATCCTCAATTGACGCTGTCAGGACTGAGAATGACGTGCCAGCGGGAGACCAGCTGTCTCCTGAATCCAGGGCAGTGGAGTTAAGTAAGAAGAGTACACCATCACATTTAAAACCAAGTGCAGCACTAGAAAAGAAGTGGCCCCAAGGAGAGTCCATTTTAGGAAGAAGAGGATCATTCCCTGGAATGGTAACAGAGCAAGGTTCTAACAGGTCACCCGGACATTCGCCTCAACAACTTAGGAGATCAATATTCAATCGGGATAGAGGAAAAGCCAGATCTGAAAGTGATCCTGCGAGGATGTTAGAGATTGCTAATGCCAAAAATGAACAACAAAAGCCTGGTTTTAGAAAGAACATTCTCAGCAAAACCCAAGATATTATTGTTTCTCTGAAAGCTAAGCTTCCTCTTTTTGGAGTCAAAGATATGAAGGGGCGTTCCCCTTCTCCAGAATCACACGATGCCACATCTGCTTTTTCAGAGGATAGAGATTCAAAAAGAATATCACCAACTACCCTCAATCCTCCTGAAGTCATGGTAACAATCCCCAAATCTCCTCCTAAGTCTCCTCAGTCTCCAGCAAAGACACCTCTGTTGTTTTCTGAAGATGATATGCATTCTCCAGAAAGAGCAAGCTCTCCTCAAAATACCTCAGCAGTTGGAGTGGATGATGTATTCATCAACACTGACTCTCCTAAGAAGAAAGAGAAGAAAAGGGAAGGATTTCATGTGGACATTGATCAAATTGATCGTAAAGTATCGGCTGAATTCGTTCCTGAAAGGAGTGATGCAAGACATGGTGCAATACCTAAAACCAAAGCCAAACTTCAGGTTACACCTGAGGATGATATTCGTGAGGTTGTTCTTGGTACAGCTGCTGGGGATGCGGAACCCGCTAAGCCTGTTAAGCCTGTTAGAAGTGGCACGATACGGGACCTGTCTCCCACAGCCAGGGCAGCTTTAAGAGCAAAGAGACAAAGACGACGGACAGATCCTGGTCCTGAACATGCTTTCAAATTGAAGAAACAGCAAGAAGTGAGTGCTTCCGAGGGAGATATCAAAGAGGATAAAGGTGAGGCAGTAAAAGGAATTTTGAGGAGAGAAAGTTCATCATCTGCTCAAGATGATACAGATATCAAGGATAAGGGGATCTTCTCTGCAACAGAATCTATCCATGGACCTACAAGTACCAGGAGGCAACGCCTGAGATCTAATCTGTCGGGTGAACGTGCTTCCTCTTTAGAAGAAATGGTTGAAAGTATGACGGATTCCTATGCTGTACAGCATCAAGGACCAGAGGAGCCTATAGCAAGTGATTCAGGGTTATCATCAAGACTGGCCTGGGAGGCACTGACACCTCGACAGAGGAAGCGAAGAGAAAGGATGCTTTCCAAACAGAGTACACCTCTACAAACTCCTGCTGAAAAAGTGAGTGAAAACCCAGCTCCTGCAAATCAGTCGAATGCATGTACAGATGGTATCCATTGCCATGGGGATTCCAGATTGACAAATGAGGAGAGGGTTCCAGCTATTGCCGATGGAACTCATATGAACAATGAGCATCACTCTCATGAAATAGATCACCATCACCATCATCATCATCATCGCCACCAACAACCTCAGTGCAATGGAGCTGCCAACAGACTCTCTCCTCATGACCTAGCAGCCACGAGTGCGTCTTTTTCCTTAGCGGAAGACATGACACCGCTCAGCACTCCACGGGGAGGACCTGCCGGGGCAACGCAAGATGTCCAGTGCACAAGATTACAGAGGGATGAGGGAGACTACTCGGTGTCCAGGGATGACAGTCAGTCATCGTCCATGTCTGGGGGATCATCAGGGATCAAACCCAAACCCCCTGGGAGGAGACCCGACAAGTCTGTTGTCTCAGGAAGGTCAGTTTATCACATTGCTGATCTCTAGAATAGAAGGTACCTTATGCAATTCTTTGTAGGTGGAGGTAAACATATAATGGCACATCTCATATTGAAGTCATTCATAGAGGAATCCTCTCCATGCAGTATATTGGTAATGAAGCTTGGTAACATGGATGTATATATACATATCCAAGTATATTGTTTCACCTATGGTCCATTCTTTTTTTCCAAATAAAGACAAAATATAACTTGTCAGATATCATAATTTGTGTCCATCAGTTTAATATCACATTGCTGATCCCTAGAATAAAAGGTACCTTATGCAATTTCTATGTTGGTGGAGGTAAACATGTAATGGCACATCTCATATTGAAGTCATTCATAGAGGAATCATCTCCATGCAGTGTTTTTGGTAATGAAAATTGTTTACATGGATGTATATATACATGTATACCCAAATATACCTTTTTACCTATGATCCATTCTTTTTTTTTCCAAATAAAGACAATTTTTTTCTCCATATTATAATAATTTAGAAAATTCATTAAATTAACGCATTTTGTACATCATCCTAGATTTGAATAGCAAATACCTTTCCCCTAACAAATAGAGAATATGTATCACTTTTATTTATCTCCTCGAGGATTAGAGAACTTATTTTCATTGATTCGAAAGACTCCATTGTAGTATTCATTTTTCATGTACTACATGTGCATCCATGGGGTGATGAAATTTAAGTAATTCACATTATTAAAGTGACTCTGTTACATTGTTGAAGGTTGATGAAAAAATGAAACTTTTTGTATAAAATATTACTTATTATATTCCTTCTACTGTACTAAACTAACTCTCTAACATGCAAAAAATCCTGGAAAAATTCCCAAACCACAAAGATATTTATGGTTTTCACTGTTCAACACCCTCCCAACCATATTTAATTTTTCCAACCTTTTTTCCTTGAAACTAAAACATGAAACAGGCTTTAATTTTTTTTTTCAACTCTTAAATGTCTGGAATGGTATATAGAGCCAATTCATTGCTTTGTGACGATTTACATTCACCTAAAATGTAATTAAATTGTAATAATATAGTTGGGAGAATTAACGAAGCGATCAGATCAGTTTTCACTCAAACTTTCAGATTATCTTTAATTGTACATCTAGCATTGAAGTCACTACCTTAGCACCATTTTCTGTCATCTGAACAATGTTACCAAGTCCCTTTAAATAAGATATATGAAAACTTTTTCATTGCACCCCATCCAATTTCTCTTGATTCTTACTTTCTAGGAGGAGAAGGTACAGAATAGCCCCCTCGGAAGTATCGACAGGCCAATCTTTGCCTAGAGATGATGGGTGACATGCCATGGAAGAACAGTATTCTGGTGGACCAGATTGAGTAGGAGAATGAATTCATTGTACAGTTCATTGCGCTTGAAAGTTGTAATGTGTTTCAAACACCCAAGGCATCTGAAATAGTGTTGTATGTAATTTGAAAAAGCACAGAGAATCTTATGAGTAAAATCTAGTTTATCGTGTTAAAAGTTCTGATGTCGTCCCAAGGCCCTTCTGAAAAACCATTGGATTCAATGAAGGAATGCTTATTCAGAATGTGCCCTCAAAGGAGCCAATCAACATCTACCTCTTAATAAGTTACACCGATTCCGATTCAATAATGGTGGCAGGTTACATTCTATTTCAATTCAGTCCAACAGGGCCTGTAAAATTAATTAATTTTCGAACATCCCTTAACATGTTCTTGTTGGTTCATAGAAAGCCGCCAATGATACTGCAAATAATGTTGTTTTCTGTAATCGTTTAAAAGTATTGATGAAAAACGGTAATTCTATTTTTCAGCTTTCAATGTAGATTCAATGCAGTATTACAAATTTATTGAACCTTCCATTTGGAAAATTGTCTATTTTATTATTATTATCAAAATTTCCAATTGGATAGCTGCATGATTTCATTTATCAAATGTCTAAAGTTTCCTGTACTTAATATTGCCATTTCAACTTTCAAGCGCAATAAGTCAACCCCTCATCGACAAACAGATCTTAGTGGACTATTTAAGGATTGCATGCCAATGCCCTCAATCAATGAAGCAGTACTAGAGTAGGTAGATGAAGAGCTGCATTGACCATTGAACAGTAAAAGACATTGCCTGTTCTCTAATGGGACACTATTGTGAACTCTTACAACAAGAATACTTTCTTTAAACTATGCATGAGGATGGACGCCCTACAAGAGGAAATTATTTGGTTTGACGGAGTGGTGCATCTTGATGGTATTACTTACCTTGAAGCACTGCCGAAGCTAATCAACATACTTGTGGATGTGGAGGAGACTGGTGTGTATGAATATATGGTGCTATGTACTTAACTTAAGAAGTAGACTTTGACTCACAAACCCTCTGAGTAGAAGGCATGTGTCACTGACGGTCCATCAAGTTTCCTTACAGCTTTACCTTCTCGCCGCTTCAAGAACAGAATCATGCATGAAATGCATTGATGGTAGTTCATAAGATCTCTGAAGGCATATCCGCCAAGATTACAATCTTCAGGAAAAGGTGTACATCTGCTGTTACATCGAAGTGGTTTTTGTAAAGGCTCGGCTGTGAGGTTGTGTTACTGGGTTTATTCACATTGTCCAAACTTTTATGTTATGTATTTATTGTGTCAAACTTTTTTTTCTTCTCAGTTTCATCATTGATGATACAGTCATCTTTTCCTACCTGTCTTTTAGATACGGTAGTGTGCGCAAATTTGACATGTTTCTGGTAGGTTAGACACTGCTGGTTGGATTCTGTGAATAAGCCCAAGCAACATCAAATCAACTATTCATGGAATCAACTTCACTTTGCATTATCTGTAGAACTGCTTGTAGTATTTGTACTGTTTGATTCAACTCATATGGTGTGACTACCTAACCATAGAACATCATCCTCATCAGTTCTATGTTAAAGCCTTGGTTGGATCAAACACTTCATCTAAAACAAACAGGTCTGAATACTTGTGCTCACTGTGTACTTTCAGACCTATTGATTCAATATGACTAGTGCTTCCTGTATGTGTTGTCTTCTTTGATACAAACTAACAAAAAAAAGTGCAGAAAAAAGAAAAGAAATTGTGCTTGATGTCAAGCACTTCATGTATATAAAGTTTATACCTGTAGATTTTGAACTCGGACTTGTAACTATCTGCATTATGTATCATTAACTTATTTGCACATAATTTGTAAAACACCATTTACAAGAAAGTTCTATCATTATTACTGCGATATACAACATAATGATGTTGCTTTTTTATATTAAGAAGTATTGTGTAAAGTTTGAATATTTATTGAAACGGCTCTTGTGTGTCAAAAGGAAATGCAACTCAAGCTATTGATCAGTTGCTACCACTATCTCTTGTATCTATCTTGCATGAAATCTACAGACTTATGGTAGTCTCTGTGGTGCATGTACTTCTTCAGTTTTCATTAAATAGTAGAAAAGAAAGAAAAACTCCCATTTCCAAAGTACCCTTACATTTTGAGAATCTCCAATGGTTATTTGAAAATAAAAGTGAGTCTAAGATGTTTAGACCATTTTCCACAAAATTTTCTCAATTATAAAGACACAATAGTTTTATTTCATTTTATTTATTGTAATCAAATGACATAAATTTGTGAATTTAATAACAGAGCTTTTCCTACATGATATCACGGTCACTAGACCATGAAAAAAGAGATTCTTATATGATTGACGATATCTGTCTGATTACTTTATTAATCTGTTTCTCTCATATTTTCCTCTTTACATTCAAAACCAACTACTCAATTTACTTCAAGACTGGCATGCCTTTCAAACTTATAATCAACTCAACAATGTTTAGTAAATCTTGAATTGCATTTTTTTTGTGTAAAGCAACTGAGATGTAATCATTTTATCCTCTTTTTATTGAGCCAGTTTTTGTATTAATTTGTAGAAAATGGTGAAAATGTGAAAATATTTTTCTGTAATCTAACTTGGGGAATGTTTTTCTTTTCTTCAGACGTAGCACTAATGTGGACTGCAAGGCTATATATATCTTGGTCTCTAGAATTGTAACTACTTTTTTCCTTGTATTGCATGCTGATCAGTCTTATTTTTTTTCTTCTTATTGGTACATGTATATCAGTATTTTTCCCCTTCAGAATATCATCTGTTCATTCATTTTGTAAGGTACTCCAGCATTAACGGGTAGCTTAGGATTGGGCATATACCGGTAGAGACAATTTTTCTTACATCTAACAGTGAATAGTGGAATTCATAGTGTTCCATCATTTCAATTAACTCAAGTATTTAATTTTCCTTTTTAGTAATTTACTTTCATGATCTGTCTTTTCTTACCTTTTATTCTTGTATTTCTCATTCCTTCCTATATGGCAATTGTCGATTGTGTTATTTTATCTATTTTTTTTAAACGGCAGGAAAAACACAGATTTTAACACACTTCCTATGATTATCTTTTTCATTATGCTTCCATTCTATTATTCTTTCACGCTCTCTCCTCTTCTCTCTCTCTCTCTCTCTCTCTCTCTCCCTCTCCCTCCCTCTCTCTCTCTATAGATATATAAATATATATATCACTCTCTTTCTCTCTTAATTTCGAAATGTCAACACTTGATACTTAAAACAAATATCAAGATTTTTTGAATTAGTGCAATCTAAGTAAATATATGATTATTTATATTAGATCAGCATTTTTTTTCTTGGTTGTTAATGTTATATGATGCACAAGTGGGTAAAATTATTCATAGAAAATATCCGTCCCAGAGGTAGAAGATATCATGGTATTTATCTCTGTGTAATCCTGGATAATAATTCTGAATAGTTGTCTATCCAAGATTCAAATACGAGCAGAAATGTATCCCATTGTTTTTCATAATACAGGCCCATATTTAGAACGTTTGACACGTAGGAGATTATTGTTCTTATATTTGTATACCTGGAAAAGGAAGATATCGTCTTATTATTTGTGTGCTCCGATATATTTCAGGTCTTTGTTTGCCTAAGGCACATTGGAAAAGTAAGTTTTCAAGAGATACTGTTCATATCTACCAAACAATTCTCCATGCATACTGTTACTCATTATTTTACTATGAAAAAATCTTTGTTGTGTGTATTGTTCATTTGGATAAAAGAAAACCTACACAACAAACCTAAAGAATCGGAAACTACATCTCTCTGAAAAAATTTATAATACACCTAAATAGGGATGGTGGATTATTTTGCTTTTGAATGAATATCATTTGTAAAATGTTACTCATCTGGTGTTGATTTAAATATCAATACGTATCAAACTTGCCTTTATGTTCATTATAAAATTAGGTAATATATGTATTGAATACAGTCTACCTGTACTGGCCCTTTTTGTACTTGTAGAGGCTGTAAATAAAATATTTTTACGAGTGATGGACAGATCCTTATACCCCAGCTTTTTGTGTTATCTATTTTGTTAGTGCAGAGTGAGAGAGAAAGGGGAGGGAGGGAACAAAGGGGGAGAGAGAGGAAGAAATAAGGAATGAAAAGAGAGAGGGAAAGGGAGAGAACAAGAAGGAAAGATGAAGATATAGAGAGAGAGGGGGGAATGAAAAGAGCGAGAGGAAGAGAGAGGGGGTGGTACAGGGAGGGAGAGAACAAACCGGGAAAGATGAAGAGAGGAAGAGAGAGAGACGGGGGTGGTAGGGGAGGGAGGGAGAGAAATGGGGAAAGATGAAGAAATAGAGGAGAGGAGGTGGTAGGGTGAGAGGGAACAAACGGGGAAGATGGAGAGAAGGATTAAAATGAGAGGGGGAGGAGACCCAGAGAAGAGAGGCAGAGGGACGTGATGTTTGCAAGATGATAATTTATATACTTTCACCATATCATACGACCTGTGCAAGCTCTTCTTTAAATAGTCTATCAATATTAATATTTTCTATTCGTGAAAATGGCATTATTCATTCAAACATTGTTTATTGTCAACAGTGACTGCCACTACATCATTAAAAACACATTCCATCCTCAAAACAAATTAAGAATTCTCTGTTGACAATAACGATGCATTTTTAAACATATCAATTTTGACTGGGCCCCATATTCGGGTGTACCACAAATTCCATGATTTGAGCTCAAAAGAATAAGAAAACAGATTATGCTTTTGAAATAATTTCACTTCTGAAAGAGGATGTTCTGTTTTAAAAGGTATGTGAGACCCCTTTTACAAGGGACTTGGTCTTTTTCTCTGGATTGGATTCTGATACGTAAAATCAATCAAAAATACAGATGCATTCATATAAAAAGTTTCACATTACATTTATTGTGCTTTGAGCTGCATACCCCCGCACACCCTTCGGTGGCGTATTTATACGATACTTAAGAAAACACAGTACTTTCTGTCATGGGACATGGGTCTATATTTATATGATTATCAATTCAGAAATACTTTTCCCCCAAAACAGCAATATTTGTAGTCTAACTTATGGCACATGGGAAATATTTCGCCGAGTGACTAGTCATCTTTTGCCTGCTTATCATATTTTCACAACAAACTTCTAACATTGTCAACGAAATATTGCTAGCGATATTCCTATCTGATCAATCGTTATCACAAATTACACGGCGAACCTTTAAAATGACTGACCCTGTATTTAGTCTGTCTGCTTTTATGTTCTTCCTTGTTATAAGGTTATTAGCAGGGTAATGATTTGATGACCTCAAATTCGTAAGATATGCTGATAAGGGAAACTTTTAAACTTATTTCTGTCACGTACGGTCACATGTCGACAGCCACCGGCAGGGCGTCACGTGTGTATCTTTTTCAATTGTTCTCATGTCACTACGTCATTGAAGAATATATATGTATATATACGAATGAACATATAGTGAACTGTTATATTCCAGCTTATACATTGTATTATATTTCAATTTACACGCACTCCCAGAACATAATATATACCACTAGTTCTTTCTTTTAAAGAAAATATAGATCTTCGAAGGAAATTTACATTCATTACAGGTCTTGTATATCTGACACCAAATAAACAAAATCACATTTTAAATGTAAGACTGTAATAAACATATAATTGAAAGATATATTTTCTTCATTTTTATCAGTGATTTCATTATTATGATTATCATTTCTAATCAGGGGCTTCATTAGAAGGCCATAATACTTTTCAGAAAGTCTGTCGGCAAAATCTGTCATTGTTTTCATCCTATGTCAAAACATGGGGAATAGGTCCTTTTGCAAATCATTAATGATTCCTGTCGGCTAATGAAGAGCCTTTTCTGTACCTTGTCAGCAAATAAGAAGAAAAAAAATTGGGGATGGGTGAAAACATGTTCAAACATTACCAACAAACTTGTCAACAAATAGAATACAAAAGTAGCAAACTATCTGAGTAATAATGCATAGTATCAACGAAAAAAATGAATCTATATGACGCAATATACATTTAAAATTCAATGACAGAGAATAAGACCAAAGGTTCATAATGCACCAATATAACCATGAAAAGAAACACCACCTGTCATTTTACTAACTAATATGAAAAGGAATTCAAATGATGATTATGGTTCATATTTAACCATGTGGAATGAATATTCCACACAGAAGTAAAACCAATAAGACCCTCGGAGAGGAACTAAAACCGTCAGTCCTCTGGTTGCTTACTAACAAGCATTGCTTTCTTAGCAGTCAGGTAACTGACCACCACTTCTAAAAGACCAGAGTTGATTGCTTGCGTAATTCGGAGAATAAAGAGCAAATAGTGACAGGTATTTTGCTGATATGTGAAGTTTAAATAAGTATATGCTAACACCCTCAATTTTGACACAATAATAATATAACCTGTACCATAGATGATAATTTGTACCGTTTTTATATCTAAGTCTCATAGGAACAACTGAGTTTTTTTTTTTAGATACGTCTTACACAAAATAAAGATGTATTAAGCACTTAAAATGAAATTTCACAATACACACCAAATATATCCATGTGAATGATATTCATATTGGAAAGTAAAGGGCATAATTAAAACATATTGAAAAATACCTTTTCCGTTTGCTTAGTTAAATATTTAAAGAATAAAAAATACCTTTATTTACTGAGATGTTTTCATCGGTATCTCCTTTTTGCAAAAGGGTTACGAATCAAAAGCAGAAATTATTAAGTAATATATACATCCTGTATACTCATTCAAAATAGTTTTTACACATTAACTCAAAATCTTATTTCCACAATGGTAAACAGTAGTTCTATCCTATGAACGTTTTGCGTATTTAGACCCAATTGATCATTGTTCGGCAGCGAAGTTCTACAAAATGAAGTCGAGTCATATGACATGAACATACATTTTGGGCAGAAAGTTGAATCTGAACTAAAAGTCTTTCCACATAATCTTCTCAGAATGACAGTCAGAGTTGAGAAGTAAGCTATGTTTCTTCAGTGTTACCATCAAGATGTAGTCTATTTAGACAACGACGCCATCTGTTTGGACGAGACACTTGCTTCAAGTTTGTCCTAAAGTACATATTCAAAGAAAAAATACCATATTCGCAGTGGCTTTCATCTTTTATCCCGGGAACCATTTGAAAATAAATGTCTATATATTCACTTGACCTTGATTACATCCATCATTATCAAGAGAAGCGTTTGTTAGTACTGTTGATGTGTCAGTCCTCGTTACCTTCCTTGGTGGTAATATAGCTTCTTACAAGACTGGCTGCATCTTGTCGATCAATGTCTTTCACTGCTTGCTCGATGTAGGTCAGGGTGTAGCCCATCTTTTCACAGCAGTCTAGTATAGCCATTGTTGGATGTGAGCTGACGATGAAGCGATGCATGAGGTGTTCTAACCCCAGATAGCGTGCTAGCATGCTCCAGTCGTTTCCATACTCGGCCATGTCATCAAGAACTTGACCCAGGTCTTTCTTCAACCCCTTGGGAATGGTAGTGCATTGTGAGGTCTGGCTACTGCCATCCGTGCTCGCTTCACTCGGTGTTGTCGAGGATGACGCATCCCCTTCTGACCCGCCCTGATATTTCTTCTGAAATTCGCGGGGTGTGGTCCTCGAGAAAGGGGTGCGACCGCGGTGTTGTCCGAGGAGGCGGATGGTGTGGTGGTGTCGAAGGCTCTGTTTCCTTTGCGCCTCGCGGCGTTCCGACGTATGGCGGGCGGGCAGCGGGTAAAAGTCAAGATGCACGTAGGAGTCTTCCCCTGCAATGATAGATTCCCGGGAGCCGGGAGCTGGGGTTATGAGGTGCTGGGATCGAGCCTGCCACTGGGCAATGTCAGCAGGCGTGCAGTATGCACCATGCTCCTGTCAACAAACATAGACAGAAAATAATGACATGCAAAACAAGATGCACAATGAGCAGTCAAATCATTTAAAATACGAGCATCAATACCTCCATACGTCAAGTCATTTTCTCGTGTCCAATCATATTATTCAATTTCGACGTTCCTTTATTGTCAGTTATGAATGGCATTATAGTCCACGCATTGGATACAGCCAGTTAACTTCGGAACACATCCCTTTCCTCAAGTTTTCAGGACCTATCATGCATCATTGATCAGAAATATAACATTTAACAAAAGGTGAAGAGTTGCATGAAGATCACAATACTTATATTTCAAATAACACATTGTGAACTATGTGAACAAACCAACATACAAGTAATGTCATTAATGACAGCTCGAATAATAGTGACACTACCGAATCAGATATAGAGGAAGAAATAAAACAAAATCTCTAATCATACAGGACTGAAGTTAATCCATCTCAACTGTACATCGGTTATGAAGAATATTGATGAACTGAGAATACTGCACGCGAGAACTCGACCAGAGATTTTTGCTTTGAGTGAAACACATATTAATGACTTGATACATGACTCTAAACCGAAGGTTAGTGGATATAATATTGTACGCAAGGACGGAGATAGACATAGTGGAGGTGTAGCAGCATACATTAAAGCTGATTTTAATTATGTAATACGTGAAAATTTGATGAAAAATGGTCTATTGACGCGCTGTTGAATTGCAGTTCTCGCATATGAAAAATGTTATTTGTATTGTTTGATGCAGACCACCTAATTCTTGTGTTGAAATGCTTGGGAAATTTCGAAATGTATTACAAAGACTTGATGATATGAATAGTGATTATGTAATACTTGGTGACATGAATTGCAATATGCAGGCTGATAAAAAAATTAAACAAACCAACCTTCAGAAATTGTAGATAATTTGAATTTTTCCCAAATCATAGATGCTCCTAAAAGAGTCACAAAAGATACCTCTTCTATATTGGACTTGACTTGATAAATCTGGAGTTTTACCTACATGTATAAGTATGAATGACCACTATCTTGTATACTGTACATGGGGTAAAAATCGTAAAGTAAAACAGAATAGTTGTCATAAGTATAACTCAATGCGTGATCTTAATTTATTTTGAATGTAAATGCTTACATTTTAGATGTAAAACATATTCATTTGGATAATATTTAGCAATGTAAAAATATGAATATTATGATACATTTATAGAAAAATTGATGGTTATTATTGAAAAACATGCGCCTCTCAAGAAACGGAGAATAAGAAAAATAAGAATCCCCTCTGGATGACGTCAGAAATATTGGACTTAATTTGTGAAAGAAACTCTCAAATGAAAAAAACAATAAATTCTTTTAAAAAATGATGGTTGGACTGAATTTAAATGTTAAAGAAATCAAGTCATTATGTAAATTCGTATTTAATAGCGAAGGCCGATTTTAATTTAAAGAGTGTTAATTAAGCAAAGGAAACTCTTAACAAATTTGTAAATCATTTAACGCTCTTATGCCAAGTAAGAAAGATAATGAAAATAATATCATTATACAATACCATAATGGTATACTGCAAAATAAAGAAGAAATTGCAAATATATCTAATAATTTTTTTGTAGATATCGGTGTATCAATTCAAGAATAGAGATGTGATTATAATGATGATGATAATGAACGATTGTACAGAATACGCCTGTAATACTCGTCTTCAGTCAGTGATTAATCAGAGTGTCAGAGAATTATTGATGAATATTCCCGATAAAAGAAAAGCATTTGAAAATGAGAATTCATCAGTAACGCTCTTGAAACCAGTCGTTGAATATATTTTGAAGCCGTCGGTGTATTTAATTTATTTGTCATTTGCAACTGGCAAAGTTCCATTAAGCTTACAATCTAGAGTGGTAAAATAATAGATATGACCAATTATCGCCAAATATCCATACTACCAGTTATAACAAAAATATCAGAAAAACTTGTTTCTCAGTAATAATATTATTAATGTGAATCAATCAGGGTTTAGGCCGCCATCATTCTACGTTAAGGGCACTTTTTAGCGTCACCAAAGATTGGTTACATAACACTATGAATAAAGGGGAGGTGATTCATGGTAACAATATGATTTACAGAAAGCTTTCGATACCGTAGACCTCTCGATATAGTAAAATAAACTGCGTCTTAATGGATAAGATGAGCATACATGTAAATGGTTTCATAGTTACTTGAGCGATCAATTCACTGTCGTAAATGATGTTTAGTCTTCTCCACCGCTAATTAAATGTGGAGTACCTCAAGTTAAGACCACTATCATTAATGATCTTTATTGTTACTTACCAAACTGTCTTCGAAATTATGCTGTTTCATTATATGCCGATGATACTTGCATTTACTATACTTGTAATATTCTACAAGATATTGAAAATCATTTGAATCATGACTTTGTTTGCTTTTATTTCTGCGTTCAAAATAATACAATACATAATATAAAATGTGTTTACAAAGATAATATACAAAATAATTCATAAGATAAACAATATAGTCATGATACATAATGAATACAAAATAAGGAAGTGAGCTTAAACTTTTTTTAATAGATATATATCCATATATACGCACATATACATACATATACATATATATATACATATACATAGCACATGCATACATACATACACATACACATATACACCTATACATACTCTCACATATAATATAATATAATATAACACATATAATATAGTATATAATCCAATCAATGAACGCAGGAGACCGCCATTGTGAGCGGTAAGGCTTGAAATTGATGGCGGCCTCATAAAAAGATTCGTGACTGAAATTGATATTTACTGATCAAGTGGGTGCATTGCAGGTGCAGGTGCTGGTGCTGTATGTAGCAGTTGAGTAAAATGAGGATATTGAATGACGAATGTGAATATTTATGTGAATATATTAATTTGGAGTATGGGATTCATAAGATTGAATGATAGTTTTTTAGAGTGGCTTTCAAGGAGTATATGGTCGAACAAGATTTAATATTGTCTGAAAGATTATTCCAGATGTCTGGACCATAATGACGAATTGATTTAGAGGCAATTAACAATCTTGGGTTTGTGAGATGAAAGTTTCCGGATATGCGAGTTGGGTAGGTATGGACAGAGCTATTGAACTTAAACATGTCATCAAAAGACGAAGGGAGCAGATTATTAATATACTTAAACATAATGATAGCTATTTGAATAGTATATAAGTCGGCAATTTTTAGTGCTTTTTGTTTAAAAAATAAAGGATCGGTGTGGGCCAAGTAATGCGATCCTGTACAAATGCGAATTGCTCTCTTTTGTAGTTTAAAAATAGGGGTCAGCTTTGTAGAACCACAACTAGCCCAAACAACGTTACAGTAGGTTATATATGGGAGTACTAACGAATTATACAATAAAAATAAAGTTTTATGAGGTAACATAAATCTTAACTTGGAAATTATTCCAATACTTTTTGAGATACTTACGGAATATTTCTGATTGGTCTTCATGTTGGAATTAAATACAAAGAAATATGAAACAATGTTAATCGGATTTTTAAAAAGAATTCGTGGACAAAATCTAGATCTTTGTATTGATAACATGAAGATGGAATCAGGTTACCGTGTGTAAATAGCTTGGGATATACATTGATAACTCTTTAGATTGGGATAAATATGTAGAAAAATTGTGTAAAAATACTGAAAAGAATTTGTATTGGTTAAAATTAAAAAGAATAAGAATTGCATTTTGCAAAAAAAGCCCATTTCTTTATATATAACTTAAAAACTCAAAGTAAATTAGATTATTGTGATGTTGTTTGTAATAATACGAAGAAACAAAATAGTCAAAAATGGCAAATTTTACAAAATAGATAAATTTCTTAAAACAGTAATAAGAATGGAAAATAGATATTCAACTACACTTTTGTATGAAAATTTGTTTTGGGATACCTTAGTTGGGAGATGTAAAAAACATGTTTTATGTATAAAATTGCAGACCAATTAAATCCGGATCATCTTTCAACTAAATTTAATCGGATGTTTACTTTACCAAGTATTAAAACGTGCTCCAAAAAGAAAAGTTTAAGTTATGTTGGTGCAAGACTATGGAATGAATTGCCGGTATAGAAACTAAATGTAAACCAACCTACTATGCTTTCAAAAGAAATTAATAATATTTGTGATATCATGTTTGACTTTAGCAAACAAAACTACTGATTTGTTTTTTCGAAGGGGTCGAATTCACAAGATCTTTGAGTAGATCTTTAATCTGATCCCCACTCAATTTATGTTATTTGTGTTGTCATCTACTGATTTTGCTATGTCCATCTTTTTATATTTGTTATACATGTATGCGTTTATTCGCAATTCTATGTGTCTGTTTTTTATATTGAGTGAATAAATTATTTGAATTAAAAACTTCTCTTTTTTCTTCTTCTTTTTTCTGTTACTATTCTTCTTTTCTCAATTAGGGCTTGTTTATATTTCTCGCCTTCTAACCTATATGTATGTGTATGTTTCAGTTAACTTTGCACGTCAACCATGTTAATCTAATGCATGTTTCTTTGTAAAATTGTTATTGCCTTTATACATGAACGGCCATGCTGAAGAACAGCCATATGGCTGCAGTATGCCACCGTGCTAAAATAAACGAAACGAAGCGAAACGAAACGAAACCGTATAAGAAACAGATAGAAAAACATATCATTCAAGAAAAAAAGGAACCTTCTAACAGTAACAATTTCTTTCACGATTCCTTCACATCTTATTAAATTCCTTGACAAGCAAGTTCATAAAATGATAGCGAAACGTTCATGTATGCAAGCAAGCTAACTAACTGGAATATTTTATAAACATTTTTCCCTTCTCATCAATGGTATTTCAAGGCCGATTTCTTACAAAAAATTATGAAGAATCAGGGAGCACATCGGTGTGTTCTTCTTTTAAAAGGTGAATTGATTTCTTTTTCTTTTTATCATCATAGTTCACATCTGTTTTTTAATCAAACCTTTGAATCGAACAACAACAACAAAACAAGTCTCGTGATGTTCTTCTTTCGTTGGCGTATCTACATAAACAGGGACGGGGGAAGAGCTAAATGTATCTGGCTCACTGTAAGTTGTACCGATTCTTTTCCTTTTTAAAAACGAAGGAACAATGATGGGTACGCCATTTGGCAGAGGGTTATTACTTACATCGGCTGAGAAACTAAAAACTGCGTCTTCCTGCCAACTGTCTGCCCCGGTAGAATCGGCCTGTCTGAGAGTGACGTTAGCCTTTCCTTGACTAGCTGTGTTCTTAAACTTTACTCTCAACATGGTGAAAGGAGACTGCCAAAGCTTCTTCTGGGGAACCGTCTATAAGGAATGGATTCAAATAAATACACTAAGTTTGATATTTCGGGCAAGTAGCTGAATGGCTGATCAGTTTGACTTCGAAAGTTAGAAAATAGATCCATAATGCTCAGGAGGGGGGAAGTAAGGTTTATTTTCAATAAAGGTAAGGTGAATTCTAATCATACGTCTTACACTAACAGCATTAATACATCAAAACAAGAAGAGCAATATCAAATTAATTCCCTACTCTAGTCTTGTCTCACATCACTTTTAGAATGATGCTCAACTCAACATGTATTTTCAATCCTTGACCATTAGTACCATTCAAAAAGGCAGGTCTGAATTGCGATGTAATGATCATCAACACCTTTCGGGTTAAAAAATGATTTAACATATAGTCTGTTTTGGATTAGGAATTAGTTTAATGATACTGCAGTGCCGCTATCAAGCGCGTACGCAGGGGGGTGGTTTTGGGGTTAACCCCCCCCCCCTCGAGTGTTTTTTTTATGTGTATGTTTTATGTATGTTTTTTTTTAAAACCCCCCTTTTGATTTTAAAACCCCCCCCCCCCTTGAAAAAAATCCTGCGTACGCCACTGGCCGCTATCCAAAATGAAACATCATGTTATGTAGTCCTGCAATCATATTTTCAAATAATGGAACAGTGGTCAGTATTTTCGATGTTTGACTTACCAGCACATCGGGTTGGTCATTGCAGAGTTGAAGACCTTCAAGGTCATGTAAGGTCAAGGACAGTTCACTGCCACCTCTTTGAATGGAAAAGGATGTACTGACGTCACTCAATACGGAGCCGCCATTGAACTCCTTCTCTTCAATGATCTGTTCAGTTTATGAGAACAAAATAAGAAAAGGAATCGTTAATACAGTATTGTTCTTTTTCCTAAACCACACTCGTAATCATCTTCAGTTTCGGTAACCATGTAGGTAAAGTTTGTCTGTGAAAGGTTTTCATATGTGAGATACGTTTTGCTGGTGTCTAAATCCGTGTTTGAAATCCTGTGATATTTTGTTCCTGTGATTTCAATTTTCCTTTCCAATCGTTGTACAGCAAGGAATTTGCAAAAGGTATGTATACAAAGCTACATATAACTTTTATAATTCCGACATGATATTGCATTCTGAAGCCTCGACTCCCGTGAGATTTCTTCAAAAGAATGTTGTTCTGTTTTTCAACCTTTTTTGGTGCTTGAACCCCCTAGCTCCTTGTCATTGAGTGTACTAGCGTCAGACAACCCAGGTAATCAAGTGTAGTTCATGCAAACATTTTGAATCTCAAATCATTTGAAATTGAGTGTTTTTTGTTTGTTTTGTTTTTTAATTCTTTGAACGGATGTTTGCAGGACGCAGAGTCAAGTCAAGAAACATGCATACCGTCCAGACTGCATCACTGCTGATATTGTTGAAGAGGTAGATGTGTGCTGTGACGACTTCTGTATGGGCACTGGCTCTAGTGAAGATGGCCATCTGCATGGACTTTCCAAGTATTCCAGGACCATCTAAAAGGAAGGCGTAGCTACCCAGATGAAGAGTTCCAAGCTTAAGACATCGCTGCTTGACGCGGCATGTCAGGGCTGTGTTAGTCTCTGGTACTTCTCGCCATTGTGCGAGGGTGTCTAAGGAAAGATAAGCAAGCATGCAACAGAGAATCCAGATAAAGATAAAGGCAGACAGTAATATTAGTGATGGCCAAGGACTTAAAATGACCCAAATAAATAGTTTTGTTAACAAGTATAGATATAGGAAGCAGATTTTGGTGTAACTTACTGTAATGTTAATATATTTAATCTTGATATGTCTCCCGTTCCGTTATGTTCATACCCAAGTTGATTAACATGAGCGTCGCATTTTCATTTATAAGATCTGTAGTATTCCTTTGAAAAGGAAGATCTAGAAAAATTTCTTACTATCGCTTAGGGGTGGTCTATGCCACAGACTAACTCTGCATTCGTTGAGGTCACCGATGTTAGCACAGTGAGGTATCTCCAGCTGCAAGGGTTTGAGAAGCGGTCTATGGTAGTTGAAACTCCTGCATTCGATGACCTGCGCGCTGTGGGCATTGATACCAGGTAGCTCATTGTCAGTAATCACCGGGCATTCCCATTGCTGTGGTGTGATGGAAACAAAACATTTATTCTCTCGAGGAACATCTATGGCTTCTTGAGGAACCCTCAGGCAGAAGCCGTATGCCTTCACGCAGGTCCCAAGCTTGTCTACCTTGGTGCAAATGATAGGTACCACATCCAACTCAATGTAGTTCAGTTCTTCGCTTTCACTCGAGCTTGATGCATCAGGGTAATCCTCATCGTCACTTTGTACATCGCTACTTGAGACGTAGCCAGGAAGTGTCTGAAGTGGTCTAGAAACATAGAATAAAAAAGAACATCCTAATGATTGCATATCGTCTTTTGAAAACAAATCTTTAGGACTTAATTCTACAACGTTCATGTGGATTAATATAATGATTCTATCGGAATACCACCTTAAGATAGTCAGGAAACTGATTGCATTATTGTTTAATTTAATTGCTCTCACCTTGGTTGGACAGGTGGTGGAAGATCGTCCGAAGGCCTGAAGATAGGTTTGAGATATGCCTGTGAATCTCTGTCAGAAGCACATGAAGAAACTGATCTGGCAGGAGAAGGAACACGTGGGCTCGGCGTCGGAGGATCACGTGCTGGAATCGAAAGCTGACTGGTAAACTGCTTCGGGACTTCGGGCTTTGGCACTTCGGGTTTCGGGACATCGTGCTTCGGGACATCAGGCAAGGAACCCCTTGGTTTGGAAGGAGGAGATGGTAGAGGGGTACAACTTGACGGCCGAGGTGGTGGTTTGGGTCGAGCTGTAGTACAGAAGGTTCACGCCGGAAATGATTTAACTAAGATAACGTATGGCACAAATACGAGGACCTTATAAAACTCGCTGTAATTTATAGACTTGAACAAATTATCTTAATTTTTGTAGAGAAATCATTTCAACGGTGTTCATCTGATTAGTGGTTATCTACAATTATTCCTGTCCAAAACACTCGAGACTACTTGGAGTTTGTTGGTCTAGCTTTCATCTTAATTGCTGTACAGTATGTTTGATATACACTATTAGTCATACATTTTAGACAACCTACACATTTGCAAATAATCTAGTTCAGTTGTCTAGAAAGCCATGATCATACATACCTTGACACGAATTCGGATTACACGCCCTGAAGAGAGCTCGAAACCAGGCCTGTCTCTCGTGTTCAGCATCTGCGATGAAGGTGAACACCCTTCCAGGAGTCTTCAGGAGGAAGTTAAATCCCCCTTTGGGCCATTGAGGATGGTGATCTCCAGTCATGCTCAATGAGAAACCTTCTGTATGGGACCCCAGTTTGACCACCTTGAGTGGGTTAGCATCCTGTTGAAAGGACCAACGATCAAGTATTGTTGGGTCATGGTGGGCATGATTTATTGCAAAGACATAATTTCATGTCAAAAAGGTGCACATGGTGGCCTGGAATAACCTTTTTTCAACAATCACTACATATTTTTTCTTCAAAAAGCAATACTTTCATCACAAACTGTAAAAAATATATAGACAAACAAAAATGATTGCATTCGATGTAGATTTGACATTTTATGTTATGGTAAAGTTGATAGCTGTCTTCACCACAGATAAAGCAAACACCCGAATACATAATTGATAATTTTGATCAAACAAATGTTGGGAGTACAAAAATCCTTGCCTTAGACCTTGGTCCTACAAACCAGGAACAAAACTTCATGGCATGTCAATGACATAACTCACCAGCTCGTTGTTGAAGTACATGAGGCGTTTGCCGTAGAGGATACACCATCTTCTTTTGAAGGCCTTCTTAGCTGAACTATCAGTCTTCTGCAAAGACCCTTCCAAGAGAATCTCATGGTTCAGAGTCCGATGAACCTGTGCAAGGACCGAAATAGGACCGGGTGTGTGATGTATCGACAGGCATATTGTGGATTCGTAAATAATCATATTACCCATGGAAACAAATTCATTTTCATTTTCAAGCAAGGTGGTTCATGGAATAAAGATGGGTAAAGGCTCAAGTACAGTATTGGCAAGTACTGAATTCGTTTGTAAAATTTCTTAAGTTTAGTTGAAAACAGTCCGCATAAACTTGTACGTCTCCATCTTTGATTTAAGTAAGGCGCATATGGAAAGTGATTTTTGTAACATCTAAGCCTGCGTTCACACTACGAGCATTTATCGTAAAGCTGTTATTCGACAAGTCATTACATTACTCCTCGTCTGAACATCGTATGAAGAAACTTCGTACATCCATGGCATAACCGGTGAATCTTTTTGATATAAGGAAATTAAACGTCAGGCAGCGTAACGCCTGTTTGAGCAACGTTTGGAACATAAAATCGATGAAGACCAATCGTATCATTTTTTTAAAATCATATAACTGGGCTGGGCCTATCGTGAGAGCACACTGATGATCGTCATCTGTCACGTCGTCAAAATTGGTTTATTTATATGGCATTTCTTTAGACGATGTTGTTTTCTAGTTTATATACGCTCCTTTCACATACGATGATTTTTCTTTATACGCCGCTTCGGTATACGAGTTTAGAATAAATATCCGATTGCATTATGCTTTGTAGTCCATTTCCAATTATTACATTACATGCAATAACTTCGAAAAGTTACCTGTTTAATCATGGTGATGTCAACAATTATCCTGTATTTTCGTATTACAAATGTTATATTTGTAATGACCACTCTGAGCTTGTGATACCTTGCAACATGAATAATAGAAAACTGCAGACACTGTACCAAAGTCATGTCTCTGTGTACAAGACAATTATTAGGCCTAAGGCTTGGAATCTGGAAGTGGACGAAGCGTTGAGGCAAGATAATTAAATTAATACAAGCCAGCTTGAATAATAGTGCATCAAGCGTCCCTCAATCTATTAATGGCTGCTAATGTCTATCAAATGGACAATTAAAGCCCTAATTTCCACAACTTCCCGTCTTTCAGTATAGTCTGTTCATAGCGTTTTTTTCATGTGGCGGTCTTTCTTTATCAGTTCCCTTCTTCACACGATAACAACTCTCCAATTCCAGTGGAAAAAATACAATATCCTTCTGTATATTATGATCTTTAGTTTCGTTTCAGAAACAAAAGCAGCTGTATTTTTTATGATCTGACCGCAATATTCGAGAACTACATTTAGAATTTCCATTGTAGTTACTCGTTGCTTCAATGCATGACAATACATGAATAGTGAATACATTCAATGCTATTTATTACTTCAGCATATGTGTATCATTTTGTTCTCAGCATGCTCAATGCGTGGGATATGACTTGTCTAGGACTACGGTAAAGTTATTTGTTCCCAACTGGTTTAAAGTTTCGCTTGAGAATACAGCAAGGCAAAGAAATCAACCAGAGAAGAACAAATAATACATCCAGGTGTTTGTTTTGTAACGTGTTCTCATACAGACCTGTACATGAATACAATAGTATCCAGGTCGGTGCGTGAATGCACCATTAACAAAAACTGTTATTGCATTCATTCCGATTTCTTTTACATGTGATTACATCGAATGAAAATAGTTGATAATGCTTCGTCTCTTTCTTACAAGAGCACCCGAAGAGGAACAGTGGAATTCTTTAAATTCGCTGTAATTATGGTATCGAGGTTTATTCCGTACCATACTTAAATAATAATCGCTGAAGAATTATTAAAAAAAACACACAGACAGAAGGATTCTCTACCCCCATTTGTCCCGTGTTTTTTAATTTATTATCACAAAAGCAATAAGTTGCTTTCAATTACGAAGAAAAAGGTAATGTCCCTTCCTTCCATTGTCCTCGACATGTTCTTTGAAAATCAACCGAGCTTTTGTTTTTAATTTTCAACTCGTGACGAAGAACAATTTTTCGCTTCTTCCGTGTTTGTCTTGATCATGTTTCGAGGTCAAGTGGGTTGGTATCGTGTTGATTTTAGGCTATATTTACCTGGTTTACACCGTCGGGTTGTTTGGACTCTAGTCTGACATACCTGGCAACCCAGAACTTGACAATGCAAATGGCTTGGTACCACTCTATCATGTCCTGTATGGAGAAAGATAGGGAGAAAGAGGGAGGGAGAAAGAGGGAAGGAGAGAGAGAGAGAAAGAGAGAGACAGAGAGATAGAGAGAGAGAAAGAGAGAAAGAGAGGGGAGTTATGTTTTTAGTCTACACATGGATTGCATAGTTACACTGATGCCATTGTATTTTTGTTTGCCTTGTGTAAAGAATGCACACAACATTTGTAGATCATGCATGGTAAATATGTTTATGAACTCAAGTCCATTAGCGTAGCCAAAATGGAAAGGGGGCATGGGGAAAATACTATTGTCCCTTCCATTAATGGATGGGTATCTAGTAACCAGTCGGCAGAAATAAGCCTGATCAAAGTTTTACGCTTATGCATATTCTCTCGACCACCCATCCCCCCCCCCCCACCCCCCGCCACGAAGACGCAGATTCGAAGTCGATGTAAATATGACATTCTGCTATTGTTAGATAACTATTTACACTATTATAAACATTATATCAGTATCATAGACATTGCAAGATTTATTTCCAAGATAAAATAACAGGTTTTTGTGCAAAATCATCTTCGCATAGAGAGAGATATATTTTCCTGAACACTTTGATCAGTTGAATATAAATCCTTCCCTTATTAACGGATATTTTTTAATTTTACTTCATAAAGTAATGGATACCATTCCCAAGACTTTTCTGCTCTAATAATTACCCCCACCCCGGTCTCTCTCTCTATCTCTCCCTCTCCCTCTCTCTCTCTCTCTCTCTCTCTCTTTCTCTCTCTGTCCCTGTCCCCCTCTCTCCCCCTCTCTCTGTCTCTCTATCTCCCTGTCTTTCTTTTCTGTCTCATGTTCTTACTCTCTCTCTCTCTTTATTTCTCTCTCTCTCTCTCTCTTTCTTTCTCTCTCGTTATTACTTTCTTTCCATCTTTGCGTCTTTCTCTCTCTTTCCCTCCCCTTTCTTCCTGTTCCTCCTTCACTCTCACTCTCTCTCTCTCTCTCTCTCTCTCTCTCTCTCTCTATCTCTCATCACCTCCTATGCACTCCTAACCTGTCTTGAATCCTGACTTTAAGGTGGCAACATTTTACCTCTTCAAAAACGCTCGGCTAAATTAATGACAACACAATAGCTTCCCGTCTACAGTGAGTCATACACGTTGAAAGTCTCATTCTAAACCAGGAAGGCGTGAGGAAGCCACCGTAAGAATTTTAGTAACGACAATAGAGAACTTCCTTAGTATTGAGTGCCACCTTATACCTGGACAGGGTCGGTATCATATCAATTATCAGGAATTAATCCCTTGAAATGCTATAGCCGGGGTAATAATAAATGCGCCTCGGAATAGAATTTCTAGAAAGACGGCGCTATAGAAATACCTATTATTATTATTATTATTATTATTATTATTATTATTATTATTTTTATTATTATTATTATTATTATTATTATATTTGTTATTGACCAGGTTATAATTATTAATCGGACATGCATATTTGTTATGCTTGTTTTTGTGTTAGCCCCAAACATTATTATAAGTCACATTTCCCTTGAATATAATGATTATTAATCCTAATCACAAAGTTTTCTAGAATGATGATACTGATGATGATTCACTGCATTTGCATGGCGCCATGCAAATATTATCTGTTTAAAAAAAAAACATTTAAAGGCGCGAGCTCCTCCAATAAAGTTGGCATTTAAATGTCTGAAGGAAGATGTGAGATCACACTTAAATGAAATTATTATTCGTTTGTATTTCACTTGAACGATTATCAAAGTAAAAGTTGACACGCAGAGTTGATAAGTATGAACTCGTGTAAAAAAAAAAATTAAAAAAAGGTTGAAAAAGAAAATAACAACTCTGAAATTGTGTTGAATTATAATACTAATATCTGGAATGATGCCTGAACGCTTGGTGACCGTATAGACTGGGCTGAACCAGAAGGAATAGGTAAGCTGCTCTTATCAATTTTCAGAATTTAATTGCATAAGACAATAGAAAAATATATGGGGCCGCTCGCTATTTATAAGGACCGCTATTCATATTTTGAGAAAAAGGTCATTATTCATAAGGGTCATATTTCATAAGGACTGCTATTCATAATCGAAGTAGAGGGTCCCGATTCATAATACGAAATCAGGGTCGTTATTCATAGGGGTCCCTATTCACAATACGAGGAGATTGAGGGTCGCTATTCATAATTCACCCTCTTCTCGTATTACGAATAGTGGTCCTTATGAGTAGTGACCCCAATATAAATTATAAACAGCGCCCCTTCTTAATGTTTATGAATAGCGGTCCTTAAGAGTACTGACTCTCAATGTGAATTATGAATAGCGACCCCCTTTCCGTTTTATGAAGAGCGGTCCTTCACCATTTCTACGTTATGAATAACGGTCCTTGTGAATAGCAGTTCTTATGACTAGCGGGGTTACCCCAAATATATAATGTTGAAATTCGATGATTCTAATATTTCACAGGACTGGTAATTTAATCAGTTAACACATTTGCATCCTTCCCGATCTATAAGGAAAGTTGTTTGTTCAGTTCTTCAAATTAAGGATGCATCACTAATCATATCAACAGAAACAAGGTTTTGACTCCTTTCTCAAACGGAAATATTATTGTCCTGTTCTAATTTCGTATCATTATAACCATTTCATAGGAAACAGTCTGTTGTTAGTTTTGGTTTTATAAGCGTTCACTATAATTTTTTCACTCATGTCAGTCAACGAGAAGTAAAAGTCTTTTTGATGTACAAAAATGGCACTTCTATCATATAGCCTAACTTGATAATCAATAAATCAATTTAACAGAAACTTGTTAATATTGAAAGCAGGTCTATCATTAAGATTTTGGTTATGCCATGTTGCATGTAGAAGAGAAAAAAAATCTTAATTTTGTCCAACAATATCTGTCTGTTTTTATACAATTACTCGAAAATACCTACACGTCCCTATAATGACTATCATAGGCCAACATGGTATTGAAATAAAGCTACAGTTTTTCTATTCTTTGGCCCCAACTGACCTTTAATATCGCATAATAACCTCCAACCAGGGATATCCCTGCTCCAACTACATCCGTTTAGTTTCGAATGCGTGAATAAAAGAATCTCACAGAGTTCAGTTGAGTTTCATACCAATTCTCATGCAATCTAATGTCAATATAGGAAGGAGCATGATCGATTGACAGCAGGGGCAGAGGAAAAGAATGATTGAAATTAAGACCCAAGCTATAATAGACATATTAGTCCAATAAAATTGCCGAAATGTACAGAGGTTTAGTCCGTGTGTTCACTTTTAAACAAACAGCACGATTTATAGTTTTGTACGAATGACTTTTATCTGCTCATGTGCAAATAGTATATACTGATTTTAAAGCACAATGAATATTCGTTGAGTGCATCAAGTAGTAGTATTTTAATGAAAGATGTTAACTTGTCAAAACAGCATACGTCAACTCAGCCTTGATATATTCTACTCTAAATGCTCTTTAAAGACAAAACAATTTCCCTTTCTTCCTGTGTGAAAGTGATAATAGGAAAAACCGAATAAAAATGATTCTCAGAAGTTGTATTGACGAGCTTTCGACACACTCCAGGATATAACACGAGAAGAATGACACGCGATCAATAAACGCAATGATGTAAACATGAATAATGTGTTTGTAAGCTCTTATCAATGATTTTGCAGGCAATATTTCAACGTTATAGTGAAAGTATTAACAGACAAATCCTGCAATTAGACTTTCATTCTGATGTTATTTTACGAGTCGGTGGAAAAAAATGCTCAAGTACTTTCCTTTTTCGCCGATAATCTAATAGTTGACCTGTATTCAAAAAGTTTATTTTAGTACAGACTTAAGTAAACAGAATCTAGTGCAATGATGTATGGAGCACCATGTGTCAACTTGTGTACTTCAACTTTTTTAAATCGTCTTAAGTTAGTTCTCTTTCATACAAGTATCAGTAAAACGTCTTACCTTCTCGTGATCAGCATATAGATAAATCATCCGGACTTGTCTTCCTTCTTCTAAGATGAGCTGAAGACCATTAGGATGACGTATCTTATCTTCTGAGGCCAGACATACATGGACATTATTCAGGCTTACATCTCCTCGAAGATTCTGCTTCTGTTTTTTTTTAATAAAAAGAGAGGAAAATTGTAATCCATTGTACAAACGCACCTACACAAATATTTATAATTTTTCATGATTAAGATTCTTCTTGATCAAACTTATAATTAAAGGTAACATTAGAATTACATGATATTGTGAGACAGTCACATATCTATTTTTGTTATTAGTTTCTTGTATGTTTCCAATAGGTTCATTGTCAATTTATAAATATAGCTAATTTGTGCTTTTACTGTGTTTAAATGATCCAATCAATCAAAAAACTACAAGTCAAATCAAATCAAATCAAATCGATTCAAATGTATTTATTCTAAAAAAAAGTACAGAATGTAAAGGATCCTTATATTGCCATCGATGTAGTACAGTATCAAATTATAAACAAGTCTTATCAAATCAAATCAAATCAAATCAAATCAAATCAAATCAAACCAATCAAACTAAGAACAATAATTACATTGGCGTCTGTGTAGTAAACCAGGGATGCTCGCGAGCCCGACTGACCGCCGATACTGAATTCAAACCATCTCTTCTGGAACATGTCATCATCTCGACCTCGTTTCCATAGATACCCAGTCTTCTCGCCTATCTTGAGGTAGGCTGGCACAGTGGTGGAGATGTTATCCGCCCTTTTGGGAAGTTTGGGGAAGGCTGCGTCCTTCTCTGGACCCATGAAGTGGCGTTTGATGTATTTTGAGATCAACCAGTGTTCCCGGAAAGCCCTTCAGGAGTAAGGGGTAGATACAAACTTACGAAATACAGCAAAGGATATTTTTATGATATACCCATTCACTGAAGGACATATGATTTGAAATAATTACTTTTACGAACTTAATCTTCATCTTTTCAATAGGATTAACTGATCAACTTTGTATTAGACATAGTTATTCCATTTAATAATTTCCTTACTTTTATCAGGGAAATACTCTTTCACACCCCCTCCCCTTCTCTCTCTCTCTCTCTCTCTCTCCTAATCTTTCTCTATTTCTCTCTCTCTCTCTCTCTCTCTGTATCAATTTCTGTCTCTCCTTTTCTGTCCCTCTATCTCTCTCTGGACAAACGCCCTTGTTTGTGAGATTAAAGGGTCATCATCCATATATCGACACTTCCTGTCTAAAATGATCAATTTCCCTTCAACAAAAACAAAGTCTACGTGGGAAATAAACCCGAAAATGTTCTACAGATCCATTTGGTTGATATAAATTGAGACAATGTTTAAAATATAAAATTCATTGCTTGTCACATACATTATATTATAAGTTAATTTCTAATTCAATTTCTACAAAACCAAATCATTCGTGGTAAAAGCAACATTGTTATTTCATTTAAGCCTGGATAGCTCTATATACTGATATTATTTTCCGTAGAACATATTTGTATTATAACAACGGAATCATGCCTCCTATTTTCACAAATTTGTAAAAACGATTCGGTCAAACAGTCTCGTTAGAATTCACATGGTCGCAAATGATTCCGAAAATTTCCATTAGGTTAGGTGATAATGCTCAGAATTACGATAACAAGCTAAAATGACAGGAGAAAAAAACCATACGGTATCTAAAGGCAAGCACGGGCGATTGCAAAATAATGACTTGCCTGTGTCATGCTATGAAATCATATAAGTCGTTGTGTGCCGGGGGGGGGGTGTCTCATTCTGAATGCTATGTCATACATCAAGTTCATATAACACAAATATTACAACTCTTCTTTCATATCAACTTTGCAGTCCTCCCATCCCATTCAATGAGTCTGTCTACCCAACCCGGCCCCCCCACTCAGTGTTATTTACGGTACGCGTATGCTCGTTCCGTCTTTTTGAAAGCACCCCCTATCTGAGGACTGCCAACATTTCCGAACCCCCCCTTTCGCGGGCTTTTCCTGCCGTTGGAGACCCCCCTAAATACGGAAAAATGCTCAATGTACCCCCCTAAATTCGGAATAATTTCTCAGGAGTCGAAAGAGATGAGAGAAAAAAATAAAAACACCCCCTTTTTAAAGAAATCTCCGGGTGAATAAATGCACATACACCCTTTTTTTTACAATTCTCGGGCCGGACTTTGTCGCACGAAAATTACCCTTTAACCGGACATTTTGGTAACACGCATGCGGTCATTCCGACCCCGGAGTGGGGGGGGGGGGGCCGGGCTACCCAATAAGCCTGATATACTAACATGATATAGAGAACACGCAAGGGAACCGGTCACTTCACAAACACATACGTGTATAAAGATCAGCACATAAGATACAAAACATCTAATTTCCTTATTTTCATACTAACCAGGAAACGTTTTTTTTATTTGTCTGATAACAGTGCAAGGATGTCGAACAAAACATACAAATATGAACCTCGTTTCGACATGCATAATTTACGCAAGCTGTTACGGCTAATACAGGAGTTATATGAAATTAAAAATTTCGGTTAGGTTTACATTGTATTTTATGTCATCCGTGCATGCTCCAAGAGAAGAGTATATGATATTTAAGCTCATATACCATGATGGCAAGTATAAAACAATATGAATATACAATACTATTCTTAAGTTGGATACATCTGAATCAATTCACCTGAAATCAAGAGGTGACAGAAATAAGACAGGCATGAGCCGACAGGTACAAGAAAATAAAGGATGTGCTTTTATTCGTCTATATATATCTTTTACCATTTATTCCTCTGCTACAGGCAGCCGTTAAGGATTATCATGGGTATATACATGAATTTAAGAAACCCCATCATGCATTAGTTGGGGGTGCCCAGATTGGGGGCGGCGGAGGGGGGGGGGGGTCTTACTACTGTTGTGAATATAGGTTATTGAGAATTACCTGTTGAAGCATCTTGTGGGTTTCTGATAGCCAGGTGGAACTCGTTTCTCATAAATCTCGTTCATTTCGCTATTGCATGTCACCTCCATTTTCTACACAGGATATGAAAGAAGGAAATATAGATGATAAGGATAGAAAACACAGGATAATTCTTCAAAGATGCAGCCTGTTGACATTATTTTCAGACAAATATAAGAACGGGAGGTACAAAAGAATAATGAGCCGGCACTCCTTTGAGAAAGAGGTAGTAACAATGTAAATTAATTCATATTTCAATTAATGTCACATGAAGAGAACATTTTAATGTATTGGATTACTAAATTACATTGTAGCGCCTTGGATGATATAAGTGTGCTGTAAAAAGTACTTATTATTAGTTAAGTGTAGAGCAAGATTAGGCCCAAATATTCCAAAATGACGAATAAGGAAATACATTCATATGAACGAGGGTTGTGGTGAATGGGATAGAGGGGGAGGGGGGGGGGGGGTAAACGAGAAGAAATCGAAATTGAAAACTGGTACAGACTAACACGGGAACAAATAATGACTTCAGGCACTTAGAAACCAATGAACCGCAGTTTATCGCCTGATTATATTTTTGCTATTTTAGTTCACAGTGGTAAAGGATGTAGACATTTCCAAAGAAATCGTCCATTAAAATCTATTGAGAAATCGTGATTAAGATACTTTACAGGGATAATGATAACACAAACATCTGCAGGTTTGCCGGTGGCAGTCTTAACCACATGTGTTCAAGTGAACATTTCGTGATAAATAAACTGAAATCATATAGATCTGAATAAAATAGTTGGGGATATTTGCATCAGACAAGGCCTGTAAGCAAATTATTATTTGCATTCATTGTTACAATAATGATAGAGATAAATCATTCATTGTTATGTTATTCTCGACATTTCCCAGTCTGAAGAATGTGCTAATACAAAATACAACTACAAAAAGATATGATAAATAGGAGCGCCTTCGAATGAAAAAATAGGGTCAATTTCACAGAGTTGCAAGTTTCCATAATCGGTATGCGGAAGTTGTGCTGGAAATTCTTTTTCATGTATGTGTCTGTGCGTATGACAAATATCCCTGAATAATGTATTATTATCATGATAATTAACTGTCATGAATGAAGAGTATTATATTGTGATGTTACCGCCATTAATGTCTTTGTATTCCTTTGATTGTGAATTAGAATGATTGAACAGCCTACATATTAAATGGTCTGTAAATCATATTCATCTGTTATACCCCTCGTTAAGCAAAGTGAACAGTGAAGTTCTACTTTTGAGAAGGTTCCTTTATTTTTTCAAATTTATTTGCATTAACGTAAGGCGCCAACCACCGCCTCTCTTCGAGTAGAACCTTACACGAAAGTTAAACATATCATAGGTCGGAATCATATTGATATAAAAGTGCAGTGGTAGATCTACTTCCTTCCTGCTTGGGCTAAGAAATGCTATGGAGTTGTTTTGTGATCCCTAACTTTCTTTTGTGTGTGTGGGGGGGGGGGATGCCCCACATTATCATGCTCCCTAGATTCGCCTGTACTATTGGAATAAGATTTTTAAGGAACACAACATCTGAGTTCAATGTTAGTTGAGCTGATGTCAATAAGATCCTTAATTTTTCCCGTAAATCACGTGGGTTATCAAGGCAGGCGAGTAAGCTACAACATATGCTGTATGTAGCCTGCATCCTTTTTTTGTTTTTTGTTTTCATCTTTTTTCTTTCTTTTTCTCCTTCTTCCTCTTCTTTTGTTTTCTTCTTCTTCTTCTTCTCCTTCTTCATATACGCGTTATGGTCTGTTTTGACGTAAGCATTATGATATAGGAGGGGGGGGGGGGTGGTGGTGGCATTTTTCTACGAAATGTGTCATCATAACCATAGTTCGTTGTCTGAATTGATTAATAAACTTTTGAACTATAGACCTTGCGCCACAAACCCTTTAGTTCGATTCTGATAAGGGTAGGCGTCATAATATTTACATCATCTGCCTTAGAAGACAACTCAATTTGTGTTAAGGTGCATTTAACATCCTTGTTTTAAGGAGAAAGTAGCCTAATATCTTCAAACGATATTTGATCTTTTATTTATATGGACGAACACGCCAGTAAACGTGTATTTTTTATGATCGTTGCTTTAGTTGTTTTTTCCTATTCTGTTATATATATATATATATATATATATTATTGGCAATAAATCACAATTAACTGCAATTTTTGTCTTCAGTTGCTGGCGTTCACCACGCACCGGGACAAATATTCTAGGTTCAATAATTTTTGTCCAATCTAACAAAAAAGTTTAGCGTTGTCTTGAGTATGAATAAAATAATCCCACTACCCATCTTTCTCCAGCGAGAAAGAAATTTCAGGTTTATACAAAAGAGACCTCAATTAAACACATTTGTTAATAATATAGACCATGTTTCCGTGAAGTTGGTAAAAACTCATGCAGCCCGAAAGCTAGACTACGAGACGGACGTACGTGTATGTAAACAACACTCGAGGGAGCGAAAGAAATTTAAGTAGTGAAGGGGAAAACCCCTTCGTTTTATTATCAATAGAGCATTACGTTCTGTACAAAAGTTCGGTTTTCTCATAATTGTAAAGCAAACCACAGAAACACAAATTCATTGCATTTGGTGCATTGAAATTAAACACCAATGGCCTTTGACCCTTTTCCCCAACAATCGAATTAAATATTTCGTACATTGTATTTACCCTATAACATTGAAATAGGTATATATATCTTGTACGAAATTTTAAGTGAATACCATAAATAGATAACTTATTATCGCTTTTATATTTGATTCGTTTATTGATTCTGCTAAACAAAAATGGAATATAGACTGGATGACCCAAACTTTGCACGTAAACGAAACACATCAGTCTTCTTAATCTTGTTTTAAATTATTGAACAGCTTTTCCTCTTGTTAAACTGTGGGTATGAATTAATCTTAAACGCTGCATGGGTAACATTGTTTTAAATAAAAATCAAGCAAAATCATGATTTGTGCATTTTCTTTTACAGAATGTTCGTACGTCTTTATGGCAAACACAAATCAATTGCGTCTAGCTCGTCATAATTGGTGTATAAATATTTGATTTGTTGAGATATATTTCAAACGGTGTTTGCTCTTCTGGGTGATCTACGCTCTTGAACAGACTTTACATCACAGACTTTGGTAAACATTGCAAACCTGTAACTTCTAGATGAAGTTTTTTATCAGTACGAGTGGTTTTGTTTGGTCTTATTTGATCTTTGTTCATTTATGCTGTTTCGTAACGGTGTTCATGTAGTTTTATGAAAGCATAACACACTCCTTTATTAGTATTACAACAACAACAACTACTACTACTACTACTACTACTACTACTACTATTATTAGTATCATTATTAGTTTATTATTACTACTACTACTACTTCTAATACTACTATTACTACTACTACTACTACTACTACTACTACTACTACTACTACTACTACTACTACTACTACTACTACTACTAAAACAGTTGTTGATGCTGCTGCTACTGCTACTACATGTATTATTACCACACTATTATTACTATTAATTACTACTACTAATAATAATAATAAAACTGTTTTGTTAATATTATTTAGTAATAGTTGTAGTATTAGTTTATTGTTGTTGTTGTTATTCTCATTACTATGATTAATTATCATCATCATCATCATCATCATCATCATCACCATTGATACTATGTTGCAGTCCTCTTCTTTTCCTCTCTTCTTTTCTCTTTCTCCAAGCTCTCTATCCTCCTCTCCTCTTTGCCTATCCCTTTCTTTCTTTCTTCCTTTCTCCCATTTATAATGTAATGTATTTATGTATTCGGGCGTACCCACTACAAGCTATGCTTTTCGGGTTTCGCGCCTTCTTCCTTGTAATACAAGTTGTTTAATTATATTTATGTTCCTACTTATATATTGTATTGTTCGGAAGAAAATAAATGTTTATTTTAAATTGAAATTGAAATCATCATCATCATCAGTCATCATTATACTTCTACCACTACCACTGATACTACTACTAGGGGATAAACAGACCTATCCTAGTTTATCGTTGGTTTCAAGTTAACCATCAAATCATTTAAGCAATCAAAAATATAAAAATCATAAATATATTAAAAGAATAATAGCCTACCTTGGATTCTTCTTCCGTCCACTCATTGTTACTCAGGATTGATTTGAATTCCACTCTCGTCACCGATTCATGAAGTGATTTACATTCCTCACAAACAATGATTCCAAAATCAGTCGAAGCCCAAACAGGATCTATATCGTATCATATACAAATGATAATAACAAGACGATGGGTAGATATGAATATGTATATGAGATGTAGCGGAGAGATTGAGAAATCCTCATTTCAGTTATCATGGATATACCACAGAGTCGACAAAAGGATTACTAGGCCTATCCAAACAACATTGCAATGTTACGGTGTATGTTGCTAAACAAACTATACCAGTCCCTTTATATTGAAATGAATTGAATATTTTTAATTTAAGGTATAATCATCATTTCGTTGCAGCCACTGACTAAACTGCATTCTATACAACATTGATAACAAGTTAAACAAATGTAGATAATGAAAATTCGTAAACTTAACAATTGTAATTGTATTAATTGATTCGCACATTTCATAATATTGCAAATATTCAAATATATATTTTAATTCGGTATTAATTAATCTCCCTAAAACAGAAATATGATGGTAGAGGTTGGAGCTAGGAAGTAGTTTGGTCAAAATAACAAAGTTGCCGAACCACCATCAGTCATGGTAGTTGATTGCCCACAAGCCCCGCATGCAGGATATATGCATAGTTATAAATCACTAACATATTGCATGGTTTATGTTGAACAAATATTATGAACATAATCGTGAAGTTTATTTGATTCATTAATATCTCATTCAAGTAAGCATACATAGTATAATAGGCAAATATACATCTCTGAATTCATTATGATGCAATAGAAACGAGTTGCAATACTTCTTATCACTTGTAATTATTACAGGCTTTATGACTTGATGTTCCCTTTAAAATATAGATGAGGAAATAAAAACATGATTTTCTCGTATATCACACAATTTGTTTTCTTTTCTTCAGCCTAATGTGTTTAGAATATAAAGTTCAGTAAGTGGTCGTTGGAAAAATCAGATTAAGCAAATATCACTTTAGTATATAGGGGCGGTAATGTACCTAGCGACGGGGTGAGGTGCGCTGGTGGGAGGGGGTGGAGGGGTGGGGGTGGAGGGGTTAGTATCTTAGTTTATCCGAATTGTTATGACAGCATTGTCATTCGTTACATATGGAAAGTCATTTCAATCCTTATTTTAATGAATAACATCCGTAAATTCTTACTAAAAAGGGACTCTAAAGATTACCCCAAAACATAAACACATGAAAAGATAATAGTACACTTTGATACATGTTTATTGTGCAATCGTCATGACTGAATATCTTTGCATGTCAGATTACACACATATGTTTTGGGTTTACTCATCCTCACACTCTAAGTGTGAGGAAGCCACCGACATATTACAATGCATATGCGATCTTACATTGTTTCTATAGTAGGTCCATGGTATAAGCATGAAGCTAAAAAGGCAAACTGATGAGCTATTTCCTCTATAAAGGACAAAGTGAATTTGAATACCAAAATCTTGATAATTAACATGGATTAGAAAAGAAGACCTTTGGGTTATTCTTAAGTATTTTTTTCTTTTCCCGGCATCCATATAACTCTCATTAATCTCAATTGTTACTTTGTAGTCATTGTTTTCTTAATGATGGATCGGTTTCTAATAACATGATGAAGCATTTATTTAAACATAGTGTACTGATAGTGATGATTATCACACGTGTACGGACTGGTTGGGGTTGGGTGTGTTAATGAACGAGGTCTCAAACAGAATAGCCTAGAAAGAGTAGCATGTTACAGGAAAACATAAACGTGCTTATTTCTTACTATAAATCATTTAAATTGGTACGTGTATACACTTAATTATATCCTTGTAACCTCACCTGGAAAACCGCACTTATCACAGTCACAGTCACGACAGTCAGCACACTGGTCATTGCCTGCTTTCACCCTCAAGGTAATCACCCAAGATTCTCTGTTCGGAACCCCGCTATTACCCGCCATTTTCACGTGAATCTTACACAGGTTCTAGCTTCACCTTTGAAAAATAAAGATATGTCACCAACCAATAATGTTTATATGAATCAATAATACTAATAAATGAAATGTAATTTTTATCCGAAGAATTTCGATCAAAGTGCGATCTTACCATCATTTAAAATCTTCTCTTGTTATCGATTAGATTTGGATAAACAGCTGAAAGGGATTGTTACTAGTACAATATAGAAGGGATATTGATACTTATCATATATGCCTGTTCGTAATCTTATAAGGAAAATAAGAAATTCACGTTTTTTTAACAGTTATATTAAAAGAAAAATGCACTGCGATAATTCCGTGCTGATAAATGGTAGCAATTTCTATTTAATCGTGTTTACACAAAATGAGAATTGTCACAATCGTTGCCTTTGATGAAATCTATAGAATACCTGTTTTCCAAAATGAGATGAACACAATCCACGTTCATGCCAAGTCTAGCATGACAAACAAAATCCCGACAATATTATTCCACTTTGAAGTTAGACAGGCTGCTTTCCAAATGACACACACAGAGGTCCGAAAGCATCACAGAGTTCGCCGGCTGGCTGGCTGCATGACTCGAATGAACAGACTTGCAAACATTTGTGTCCCACCATAGACCTACCGAATTATCACGAAGTAAGCAAGGTAGTTTAATATTTACATTGTAATGATTCGTCCTTTGAATGCTTCTGTAAATAGGTGCTATGAAATGTCCTAGTCCGGTTCGGAAATCCTTGCTGAATGTTATAGACTAGCCTACTATATATATATATATATATACGACCGATACTGTGTGTTGACTACTTCATATAAGCCTACCCAACAAACAAGGAAGTGCTTACGAGAAAAGGGGTTGCAGAGCCTCAGAGGCAGAGCGTGCGTCAACATTTTCCGAAGGGAAGTATGAAATATGGGGGGGGGGGGGTAGAATAGAACTATTATTATTATTGGGAGACATGGTAGAAATGAATACAAGTTGTTCCTTGCCTCAATGCACACATACAATGCTAACTGGCTGCTGAATCTCCTGCATTGTCAGAAGGCTGGGAATAATGATTTTTCAAAACAGATGAAGGGGAGGGGTGGTGAATGAAAGAATGAAACGAATGCCCTAATACGTATCTCTTTGGTGAAGAACATATTGCAATCGAAACGAGATATGAATGCAATTCTCTCATGTATTCTATCTTTCCTCACCCTTTCCATATTAGGTCAAAAGGGGATATCATCTTGACACGCGACAATGAGAAGGCGCAACATGTAGCAGGATACGTGATCAAAATATAGCAGTTGTATTATTTAAAAAAAAACTAAAATAAGCACTAAAATGCAAATAGTGCACGCTGACAGTGCAGAGAACTTCCAGGTACTCCTCAGGCATGCAATATGCCCTAATCACAGTAAACCTAATTTGTCTTTCTGGCTAGCTAGCTTGCAATATTTATTTCGTATTTATCTTTAGGCTGCATAGCCCGTCGAAGATTTCTTTAACAAAAAAGATGATGATGAAGACGAAGAGGAAGAAGTAGAAGAAGAAGAAGAAGAAGAAGAAGAAGAAGAAGAAGAAGAAGAAGAAGAAGTAGAAGTAGAAGAAGAAGTAGAAGAAGAAGAAGAAGAAGAAGAAGAAGAAGAAGAAGAAGAAGAAGAAGAAGAAGCACATGGATGATTGTTCTAGAATCACAATTTCGCCTCTCGAACCCTTTGCCGCTGACCCCGGGTCCGCACGAGACATGAAAGTAATATCTATTTGACATTGTCTTGTTTGGCTTGTCTGAAGATGTCGTGAATGTCTCAACGTCATGCTAATACAGAAGAAGTTAATCAATTTAATATGACAGGTTGTTAGCCAAGCTGGTTTCCATTGCCGTCGTTTTTTTATAAACGGATATCATTCTCATAGCAATTAAAAAAAAGAATGATTGAATGAATGAATGAAGTTCTCATCTGAGCTTTGATATCACCCCTCTCTCCTAAAATATAATTATAGCCTTGAAGAGAACCATCAGCCTGATTTTTAATGATATTCAGCGATAGCTATGTATAAAGGCCGATTCCAGCAGAGAAGACTTGTAGGAAACAGGGAATGGATGTGGTTACCAGATCTATTTTCATTCAGAGGTTTTCCTCTGCCATTTAATATACAAAGTCGACAACTTGACTTTTGAGAAAAGATTTATAAGTTTTATAGGGAATGTTTTGTATTCTGTAGCCTTTCCCTTGGCATATTCCCCATTTCAAAAGCGTACGTCTTAACTTAAATCAACACTCTGGCGTCTCAAAAGCAAACATGTGAATTATTTTGCACAGTCTCCTCCTGTTAAACAAGAAACATTCGTGCCATCGTTTTATATCAGGAATCAATTATTTCATGATATGAAATACGACTATGAGATATATCTATGAGATATGACTACTCGCGACATCACGGAAGTTTCTTGTTTTGACATTATTATTCTCTCCATGTAAACACCTCCCTGGGTTCACACAGGAAATTCTATTGTGTCAGTTATGAATCATGACAATGCCATGCCGTGAATGGTACCTGTAAGCAAATTGAGAAGACGCAAGACATGTTGCCAGACTTCCTCTTTCAGTTTGGATATATACAGACTAATTGTTTTTTAATTAGCCAACTTTTCAAGACAAGCTTATAGGACAAATTCCCCCAATGAGCCTAGACTACCGACCCGAAGGAAACTACCACGGGAAAACTAGTCCGGACCACTTACCCATTTGAATTACCGTCGGACAACTAACACTAATTGTGTGTGATGTAATTTTGAGAATGTAATGCAGTAAGGGATTAAGAGGGGGCTTGGGGTCTCAAGCCCCCCCCCCAACCCCCCCCCCCCCAAAAAAAAAAAAAAAAAAAAAATCAAAAAAAAAAAAAAATCTTGTAGAACCACTCTTGGTTTTAAAGGTATAGACCAGTTTTGAAAACGCCCCCCTCTCAAAAAATGAAACAGAAGCTCTTATTACCAATCATGTGAAATAATATGTTTTGACTAATACGTGATGGTACAAATTTGCCTGGAAACCGCCTACTAATTGATATATTTGGTAAATTATATCGATCTGGTCTGGATAGATATCGCGAATGCACTTCAACATGGAATATTTGGGCATATATTTCTGCTTTTTTTTTGCGAATTTAGGTGGGAGTATTGCCATCTAAACCTCTGAAGGTAATATTTAAACAATATTGAATGAATATTTTGCACCCCAAAACCCTTGAACCGCAATTTTACCACTACCGGCCATTACCTTTAAGGAACGTTTGTCCAGGGGAAAGTAAGTTGTCCGAGGAAGGGGAGGTAATTGACCAATTGGGCAGGGACTGAGTGTATAGCTGCCTGTAAGATGAGGAAACTCAGGTCGGATTATTATTCGCGATACGTTTCAAATAGAGATACGAATTGTTTTTCATTAGATATTTCAATCAGTGCACACAAATTATTCAAAAATATTTGCAGGATCGATTAATCTTTCTTTGAATCAGTGAAAAAATACAAGAGGGCTCGGGGCGAATTAGCCCCCGAAATGCCCCTAAAGAGCCCCCGAAGGTCATCCGCAAAGGCGCGAAGGCCAAGGCGGAGCTAGCTGCGCCGGTGCCTTCGTCAATGACCTTTTCCTGATAATACTGACATACGGCACTGAGGGGGGCTTTCTTTTCAATCTATATTTTGATATATTTTACACTATGGAAAAGAAGCATTGCCAGCAGTTCATGGTAAAACTGATACACAGGGAAGCAGGATCCTCAATATTGATATACTCAATACTCAATACTCAATATGTGGTATGTCGGCAGCCCGGCGTGCTTTTTGATGTATTGTCGGTTTGCTCTCCTTGCCCTCCATACGGATGGGGGAGGGGGGAGGCATACGTCGGCTTCTCTCTATGTACGGAATATGGATATGACTAGCATCCCCTCCCCCTTAACCGAAGCATTTTCATCATAGAATTCGTATCCGGACACCTACCCCCTGGAATCCACCCCCGGATAACCACCCCCAGTCAACTACCCCCAGGACCCCTACCCCCTACCCCCGGTACAAATACCCCCGGACAACTACCCCCAGACAACAACCAACTAGGATAGTTGTCCGGGGGTAGCTGTCTAAGGGCGTAGTTGTCCGGCGGTGGTTGTCTTAGGGGGTAGTTGTCCCAGAGAGTAGTTGTCTGGGGGATAGTTGTCCGGGGGGTAGTCGTCCTAGAGGTTGGTTGCCCTAGTGGGTAGTTGTCCTAGGGGGGAATTGACTGGGGGTGGTTATACGGGGGTGGATGTCCAGAGAGTAGGTCTCCTAGAACCCATAGAGATATCACCGTGTTATATCCTTCAAGAATTTTATTTTACTGCTTCCGTGTTATTTCTAAGAATCATAGACCTCGTGTTTATCTTGGAATAAATCTACAAAGGGTAACTACTGGTGAGGACTTTTAAAATAATATCGGAGTTATGTGAAAAACCGGGGAAATCCCCCCAAACTAATTGTATATTGTTTTAAACCTGCGTAGACGATTAAAGGGGTCAAACTTTACAAATAATTATGGAAAATCCTATGGTCACAACCCGCCGTGCATCTTTTTCAACGTGCATGACCGCAGCTGCGGTCGGGTGGTAGGCTAACTTCCTTCTTATACGATCCCTCGTGGATACCTTGCACCCTCCTCACAAACATAGAAGACAAGAGACTTCATGCATGACTGTGTAGCACCGACATTTTTGGGGTGGGGTGAGGATCATATAATAATCACACAGTTACTCATAATAGCAGCGGAAGTCTGATACAAAATTGCATATCGGGGAACTTTTCTTTAATTAGTACCCCTGCAAATAATCCCCCCTTTTATGCCGGTTACCACAGGATTCACACACACACTACGCACACCAAGTACATCACATAAACAAACAATCAATCATACCACGAACACTGAGAACATATCACCGAACATACAGTTACACAATCAAAGCAATCACTCTCATTCAATCACTACACACAAGAGTCTGAAAATCTAAACTACTACTCATTATTTATGTGAGTATATATTGGGATGTCTTTTCCCTTTATTATTTACAACTTATCTTCATGCACTTCTATAAAGTCATAGAAGTTTAACAAAAACAATAACATTTAACTGAACTATAACTATCTATACTAATCCTACAAGGTCATACATAACTTATCACTACTACATCTACATCCTATATTATATCAATTGGACATGAGGGTTCTGAAATGGTTAGTGCTGAGGCGACGACCTTCATTGTGACGTTGTCTAAAGAGAAGAAATATTAAATATTGTCAGCGACAATTAATATGGTGTTGTCCCAATGGAGGTTGGAGACAAAAGAGCACGAATAATATCTTTACTATTATTCTCTAAATTAATTACTATCATTATTATTATCCTCATGCCAATACATCAAAACTGAAATGGTTAGTAAATAATATTTACAGAAAAACATGCAACATATATGATGACGATAGTACTCTCTGTTTAAGGAGGCTTTTATGAACTAGAAAGCTCTCGTTGTGATATTGCGCCAAGTAAATTCCCATTGCAATTTGGTATAGAATTATGCTTCACGCGCGCAGCCAGAATAACAGAGAGTATCATTGTCATTGTATATTTTCATCGGTTAGTAATAATCAGGAATAACTGTAATAAGTTTACAAGTTAAAAGAATGATTCAATAGCATCACATGGTTTAACAGCATGAGATATCACTTTCTCCCATCTCTACAACAATTTCACACAAAATCCATTTAAATCTCACAACTGCATAACCATCCACTCTTGAGAAATAC